AACGAATTAAAGAGAATAAAGAAAAAGATTTTTATAAAAGTCATATAAAACTTTCTATTTAAAAAACCGTCTCAAAAATTTATAAAATTTTTGCACACGTGTTTATCTCTGCTTATTATTTTACACATCGGATATAAAATTTCGAACGATAAAAATTTTTTGAAATATTGATTTTGTGAACATTATTATAAATGAATTTTATATTTGTATGTTACAGACAACTAGCTTCGATAACAACAACTCCGCTGTTGCGTATCAGTGTCGGTGAGTGAGAAAAACTTTTATTTAACTTTAAGATAACGGATTCGTAGACATTGTAGATGTAGATGTAGATATAGATTGTAGATTGTAGATTGTAGTAAATCCGTTACCTTAAAATGGATGAGCTAGAATAGATTAAATTAAATAATTATTAATAAATTCTTTCGAAATGCTTTGTATTTATTGCGAAAAGTTATTGAAGTATTAACTAAAAAAAAAAGAATCAAGAAAAGAAAATGTTTTGTAAAGATTTTGTCGAATTTATGAAATAAAGAGCCTGCATTAATAATTTTATCAATTTTATCAATTTTTGATGTTACTTTATTTTTATGATGCGCACTTATTTTATTCTAATTTCTTATAACTCATCCATCGTAGAATTTGTTTGTAAATATTGTATTTAAATTTTACTTTAACTTAATGTAAAGCCAAATGATTAATTAATAAAATAATTTGTAATATGATAAAAGTTATACACACACATGAATTTTATATTTTATTAGAAAATGACTCGAAATATAAAATTAAACAAATCAGTTTTAATGGCAATACGAGTTAAGTATCGATCTTATAACACAATTATTTATTATACAATCAAATAAGTATGGAACAAATTATAAAGAAAAGTTAGCGAACGTTTCGACCCTATTTTTGGGCCATCTTCAGCGCAAATGATGATGTGATAAAAAATAACAAAAAGTTTTATATCGGAGTCAAGTATAAAGTGTGCCATCTAAAGTAATAATAAATGCCTCGGTATCTCATTATTTTGACGATGCTTGTATTAAAATCAGTCAAATTTATCAAAGAAAAAATTATTTAAAATTAAAAAACGAAAAGTGAAATAAATTAAATAAATAATGTAAACTAAAAATAAATAAAAAAATAAAATAATGTAAAAAGAAAGGATTGTTAGGGCTATTAAATGATCATCAAAAATAAAATAATGTAAAAAAGGATTGTTAGGGCTATTAGGTAATCAGCAAAAATAAAATAATGAAAAATAAAATAATATAAAAAAAAGGATTGTTAGGGTTTTATTAGATGATCATTAAAATTTTTTTAGAAAGGGACAAATATGACAAGTGATGATAATTTTTAATGTTAACACAAAGGAATACAATAAACCATAATAATTCAAGAACTCAAAGAAGAGAATATATTGGATAGAAATGCATTGTGATTGGAAATGAAAGAGATTTTTAGAAACTAAAAGTCAGTATGCATACAACCTATTTATTAACAGTAATACTATTTTGTAATTATATTAAATTTTATAATTTAGTACATTGTATTGTATTATGTAAAGTGTTAAGCATAAAAGTTATGTTGGTATGAAAATTATAATAAAAGTATATAAATAATGTTAGCTATATTAGAATGGAACATATGAATTCTTTATACAATCAAACCTGGTTAAGTGAGATCGCAAGGGACAGCTCATTGATTCCACTTAAAGAGGTATCTCACTTACCCAATTTTTCAATTATCCAGGTTTAAAACATGTCTCACTTATAGAGTTAATTATCAAATAAAAATACGTACATAAATTAAGTATTCAAATAAACTTTATTATGCAAATAAGCACTATGTCATTACACATGTGAAAAAATGTACAATGTAATACATTGTAAAAAAATTTTATTTAAAAAATATCTGTTATTTTCGATAACGCCATACACAACGTTGCAATGTAAAAACGATAATAATCTTACAGAGGTTTTTCTATGGGGTCATCTCAGTTATAGAGATAATTATTGTTATGAATTGCTAAATATCAGTCTCAGTTAAAGAGATCAGGCATTTCTATTTACAGAGGTTTTTTGATGCAAAAATGTTGGGACCTCAGAAATAGTCTCAGTAATAGAGATTTTCCTCTCACCTAGATCCCACTTAACTAGGTTTAACTGTATTTTATAGTATTAAAAAAAATTGTGTAAAATAGTTGTCATAACTATCTACAAAAATTAATGATATATTTAAATAGAAAATTACGTTGAGAATAAAAGAGTACGATTTTATTTTATGTTTATCAACAGTGTGTGTGTGTGTGTGTGTGTGTGTGTGTGTGCGCGTGCGTGCGTGTGCGTGTGCGTGTGCGTGTGTGTGTGTGTGTGTGTGTGTTAGATGTGATTGACTGCTGATAAATAATTAGATGAAGAAAAAATTATTTTAATAAAAATTGTATATTATTCAGCAGTGTCGAGTTTTTTAATAATTAAAATTTTTTAAATTGCGAGCTACATGAATCAACTGTTCATCGTTGAAGAAATCGAGATTCTGACTTTTACGACAAAGATGTAATAACTTTCGACGAAAATATAAACATAATTTTTCTTCATCTAATTATTTATCAGCAGTCAATCACATCTAACACACACACACACACACACACACACACACACACACACACACACACACACACACACAGACAGACAGACAGACAGACAGACAGACAGACAGACACACACACACACACACACACACACACACACACACACACACAGACAGACAGACAGACACACACACTGTTGATAAACATAAAATAAAATCGCACTCTTTTATTCTCGACGTAATTTTCTATTTAAATATATCATTAATTTTTGTAGATAGTTATGACAACCATTTTACACAATTTTTTTTAATACAGCAATTTTTTATTAAAATAATTTTTTGTAAAATAGTTCTATACAATAATGTTTTACTACTGAGATGACTCGACTTCTTTTTTTTACCTTTTTTTGAAAACGTAATTTTTTTAGGATATCACTAATTTTTGTAGACAGTTAAGAAATAACTATTTTGCACATTAACTTTGTTTAATGTAACATTTTTGTAGTTTAAATAATACTATGTTTTGTGCACAAAACAGTTTTTTACAATAACATAACATTTTTTACAATTTAATACTTACACATGATTAACTTTTTTATACTTTTTAAAAAAGTAATTTTTGAGAATATGTTAAATATCCAAATAAATAAGCAAAGAATCTGCCACCAGCCCCGTCATTTCATTAAAATATGACGATCTTCTCTACTTAATATACTTTTTGCAAACTTTGTAAAGTTAAAATATTACAAGCTACAAGCATAATACAAAGCTACATTCTTCAATTATTATAATTCCAGGTGAAGTTCACTTTAATAAAATTTTAATTTTAGGTTTAGTTACAAACCTTCGACATTTTCAATGAAGAAAAATCGTCTCTAAATAACTTTAGAAATCTGTTATTAATGTTACTAAATAGTGTGATAATGCAGGAGACTGCATATAGGATGAGTTTTATTTTGTGTACCAATTTTTTTCATGTGAGGGATTACTACCCAGGTAGCAAGCACACGTCATTTTGACGTTCCAAACTAGTCATTTTTGGTCATATGTTATCAAAATGACTGATTATTGTTACATGACTTTATATTGACGTCTTGCTATAACATTATTTTGACGTCATTTTTCAGTCATGAAGTGACGATTATTTTATTATGAATGTCATTAGTTAGTACATCGATCCCATAAAAAAAATCTTTTAAAATTTTTTATATGACATGACTTATTTCGCGATCAGACTTTTTATATATTTATATATATATATATATATATATATATATATTTATATATATTTATATTTATATATTTATTTATTTATATTTATATTTATTATATATTATATTTTTATATTTATTATATTATATTTATGAAATAGAGAGATGAATTGAAAAGTTTAATATTACTGGCAATAACGAAAGGAATATTACTGAGATATTACTGAAATAGTCAAAATTATTAACTGATTCTTTCTATAAAATATTACTGATTTACAGCGCTGTACTTATATAATAATTACTGTAATTAGTGATTATTTACTGTTTTGCTTTACTGTGATAATACACTGTGATAATTGACATTTTGCTTTACTGTGATAATACACTGTGATAATTGACATTTACTGTGATAATACACTGATTCGCTTTTAGAGAGTGCTTTATTCGACAACATTATTAAATATATTATTATGCTAAGAGAAAGACGTCAAAATGCGGTACATGTCATGATGTCAGGAATCTGTGACATTAGATCGTCACTTTTACGTCTTAAAAACGTCAATTCGTGACGTCAAGAATAATCAGTGAATGACCAATTTGAAACATCAAAATGATGTGTGCTTGCTACCTGGGTGATTGCAATTGCAATAAATTAATCGATACATAGGTAGCAATTATTTGGATAAGTATTACATTCGATATGCATGGTCGATTCAAATAATTGACATCTATAGGTACTTTCCGATTCACACATGATGCGCATAAAGTGACAGAAAATGTATAATAATATGCGTAACATGAACTATAAAAAATGAACAACAAGGAATATAGAAAAATATTAATTTCATCTATGAATATTACAGTATCGTTCGCGATTGAATAATTTATTTACTATCAATTTACATACATAAATATCTTGTTATACAGCATTGCATAGTGCTACCGGCATTTCGTTCACATAGCATGGAACAAAACCAGAAATTGTGCACATTATATATTACCCTCTGAGAACATTCATGGACATTGGCTTTGTAGTTCATGTCCACGTTTCAATGTCCATAGAGGGAGTATCGCTTTCAGGGATCACCTAAAAGCAGGCCATGACATCTGTCAGTCTTCTCTCTGCTGATATTGTCTTCGTAGTTTATGTTCACGTTTTTATGTTTAGAGGACGCATCGCCTTCAGGAATCATCTGAAAGCGGAGCCATGACATCTCTCGTTTCATTCTCTCTGTTCCGACTGACGACGTCACGCGCGATGGTCGCGACGTTGTCTGACATTTCGTCGCCTCCTTACGGCCATTGACGATCATTGACGACTGCGTCGATGCCGAGGAGAGCGTGTGACGGGTAGCGGGGGTGCGTGGTGCGTCTTCTCCGTCGTGTTTTGTGTTTTCTCGGACGTGTCGTGCCCCTCCTCCTTCTTCTCCTCCTCCTCCTTTTCTTCTTCTTTCTTCTCCGTCGAATTTGCTCTTCCTCCTCCCCGCCTTCGCGGTAGCCAGTAGCACTGCTCCTGGAATCAGCAGCGAGCAATTCGACGCCACAATCGAGGACGTCAACGAGAACATGGACGAGGCATAGATCCCGAGGCTGTGCGTCGAGTCCCGATTGAGTCGTTTTGCACCAGGACGACGAGGCAGGCAACGCTGCGTATCGATCTCCGATCGTGGGCGATGCATCCCCGCGTTGTTGATAAACCGTCGACCCCAACACGTCGGTAGAGATCGCGAGAGATGGAGATCATCGGCGACTACGAGTACAATCCCAAGGACCTGATCGGCACCGGCGCTTTCGCCGTGGTTTTCCGGGGCCGACATCGCAAAGTTAGTGTCCCCGACTGTCACCTTTGCCAGCTTTAGTCAATGAATCTCATGATAATCCGGAGTTGTTTTTGTTTAACATTAGATGTAGAACCTTTGTCCATTGTTTCAAAACGCATGATAGATGAAGTTTCTGTGTAAAATTTTGTTATAAGAATATCTATTATTTTCTACTTCTAAAATCACTTCTAAAACTACTTGAAGAACTTTGTTGTTCAGTATGTAAGATCCGAGTCACTTGTGTTACTTTTGACAATTCTTTGTGAATCTTTATTGTCTTATTTTTTTATGATATTTAACAATAATATGAAACTAAATTATCAGATTCCTTTATATTCTGACCTTGTATTTAATCTAATTTAATATTTAATATATGTTTCTGACGACATTAATTGCATCTAATCGCTTTATATTTTTTAGAAACCAAATTTGGTGGTGGCTATCAAGAGTATCACAAAGAAAACCTTGGCCAAGTCACAGGACTTATTAAAAAAGGAAATTAAGATCTTAAAAGTATGTCATGTTCTTTATACTTATATTAGCAGATTTTAAAAACTTTATAGACAAAAGGAAATATATATATGTTAATAAATTTTCAAATTAATTTGTAAATATTTCACAATATTCTTGTATCTGTTTAAAAATAAAATTAGAATAAAAAATTAGATAGAAAAAAATAAGAGATTTATATATAATGCTAAATAATGCTTTATCTTACAGGCGTTAACTAAACTACACCACGAGAATGTTGTTGCGTTGTATGATTGTAAGGTAAAGAAATGAAATTTATAAAGAGATATTTATTATTATTTATGATATAAAAGTATTAAAATTAATCTTCTCAATGCAGGAGTCTAATCATAATGTCTTCCTGGTTATGGAGTATTGTAATGGTGGGGATTTGGGGGATTACTTAAATGGTGAGCTTACTAAAGTAATATAAAAGAATTCCAGGAGGAAATATATCTTAATCAGAAAATTAACACTATGCATTTTTTCAATAATAAAATTAATGAAATTTTAATGCCAGTTTGTCACGATATGAATTATTTTTTCATATATATACCTACATATAATAATAATAAGTATGTACAATAATAATTTGTATCTTTCCCTAATAGCGAAAGGTACTCTCTCCGAGGACACCATTAGATTATTTCTCAAGCAATTGGCTCGTGCAATGAAGGTATTACATACGAAAGGAATAGTTCATAGGGATCTCAAGCCACAAAATATTCTATTGAATCATAACTGTGGCAAAGCTTGTCCACAACCACAGGAAATAACACTGAAGATAGGTAAAAATGTTTTTATTCTAATCCTTAATTTTTATTATGATTGAATTTACTTGTCCATTTATTTTATTTATTTCGTTTATTAGATTCGTGAATGCTTTTAGATTAAATATATGTCGATTAATGCCAATAATTGTTTCTTTTTCAGCGGATTTCGGATTCGCTAGGTTCTTGCAGGAAGGAGTAATGGCTGCAACTTTGTGTGGATCACCAATGTACATGGCGCCTGAAGTCATCATGTCTCTCCAGTATGACGCTAAGGCGGATCTGTGGTCCATTGGAACCATATTATATCAATGTCTCACTGGAAAAGCACCACACCCTGCAAACAACCCTCATGCGCTCAAGTCAATCTATGAAAACACTGTCAATCTTGTCCCTAGGTACAAGCGATATAAGTTTTTCATTTTTTTCATACTGTTGATAACTATATATAATTTCTAATACAGAGATTAAAAGAAATTTGAATTATAGATTGAAATCTTGTGTGAAATAATTTTTTAAATATTCTTATATAGGTTTTTTCATTTCACTATCATTAATATATTCATATATGTTTGACTTTTTCTTCCTATTTAATTTTTTATTAAAAACTTGAGTAGATTTTTTAAATCTATGCAAGTTTCTAATAAACTTTTTTATTGTAGTAAAAGAAAATTATGACATATAAAGTATTATAAGAAAAATACATATTATGATGTTCCTCTTTTAGCATACCGCCTGGAACATCGCCCGAGCTGACGAATCTTTTGATGGGCTTGTTGAGACGTGAGGCGAACGATCGCATGGATTTCGATCAATTTTTTGGTCATGCGTTCCTGATGGGTGCTCGAGAGAGTCCTAGCCCGAGTCCAGTGCCCGCCGAACTACCTGCGTCTCCGGATGCAATGGTGATTCCGATCGAGGAAGGGACGCCGATTGTCAATAAATCAGAACCCGAGGCAACGGAGACTCCATGTTCTAGTCCTGAAGACGATTTTGTTCTTGTACCGAGTGATATTAGCAGTGATACCGATAATAATCCACCAGTAAAGTAAGTTCAAATTAGATAATTGACTGAAAGAGCCAGGTATAAAACGGAGTTAGATTTGTATAAGTTGATGTATAAGTTTTAATAATTAATAATCAAAAGAAATGTTTTCCACATAATCTGTAGAATTGAGTGTCCCATTTCCAAATTGCATATATTTTGATGTTTTTTGATGCATACAGTATTTTGTTAAAATGTATGTTATATTCTTCTTATTATTTTCCAGGTATACCAAACAAGTGAGTAGAGAAGCCATCAGCCCACCCCGACCTTGCTTATCGAAATTGGGCGAGTAAGTGACATTATTTTATTATGTTTTTTTTTTTAAACATCAGAGTTTACATAAAAATATGGTAAATGGTACTTTATTGTTCCCCTTGGGGTTACAATCTTTAACATACAATTACATAACTCTACCTAACATAACCATATCTCTCACGCAATTGCCGCCGCCCTTAACATATCACAACTAATACCCATATCTATCAACACATTGCCGTTTTTTCTTACTCCTTTTTCCACACTACATTCTTCTTTCTTTTTCTCCTCTTCTCCATCTCCTTCCTCCTCTCTCCTTCCCTTCTCTCTCTATCTCCCTTTCTCTTTTTTTCTCCTCACTTTCTTCTTCCTCTTCAAATTTCCTCCATATGTCCTCTCCTGTCGTTCTCTCGATCTCTTTTCTTAAAAACTTCTTTTTCCTTCTCCTGTCCTTCTTCTCTCCCCAGCCTTCTCCCTCCTCCTTCCTTCTTCCACTTCTTCTTTCCTTTTTTTCCACTATTCTTCCTTTCTTTCCTCCATTTTTTACGTTCCCGTCTCCTCTATTCTCTCTTCCCTCTGGCTGGTCCTCCTTTATCTCGTCTATCGCCTCCATCCATCTCTACTCTCCTTACTTTTTCCTTTCCTTGTCTTCCCCATCCTGTGCCTTCTCCTTACTTTTTCCTTTCCTTGTCTTCCCCATCCTGTACCTTCTCCTTTCCCTGCTCCTCTGTCTCTATCCCAGCATTCCCCCTTCTCTCCACTTCCCACTGAGACCTGTGTGGACCCGAATCCGCGCCACGCTTAATCTTTACCTCGGCGAGTTTCAATGACGCAACGTGCAGGACCACACAGGCCCCTTACATAAAAATATGTATAACTGCATTTATATTATGCAAGATTAATTTTATTAACATTTAATTATATATTTTTCATTTTGATTGTATAAGAAGCTGCAGGCTTATATAATAGATATCAAATTAATTACAACTCTCAATTTTATTATTACTACATTTCTATGATTTTTATATCCACCAGATATGCTAGACAAACGAGCAGGGAAGCTATCAGTCCACCTCGACCCTGCTATCTACCAATCTCTGAGCCGATTCCCGTTCCATGTCAACGAAATACAGCGGCTCAGCAGCCGCCGCAGTCTCCCTCAACGAATGCCGCTCGTTCCGGTGGCAGCAGCGTTGTTCCTCGCTCCCAGCCCATCAGCATGAAACGCAGCATGGACTCCCATAGAAATCATCCGCCAGACATCGGTTCCCTCAGTCCACCTAGCGTGCAGTTTGTCATAGGTACCCCACCCGGCAGAAGGTACAGACATTTCTTTCTAGATGATTAATATAAATAAGTCATGAAATTTTGAGTCATTGTATTTCACAAAAATATAATTTCTCTTTTGAGAGAGAAGAAGAGGAAAGAAAATAATTTTTATTCTTTTATCAACAGGATTATTATATCTTCCTAGTCCCATTGAATCGTTGATATTCCTCGAATAAAGTTAATTTGTAATTTCTCAACTGTTAGGTTGAGCGAGACTCCGCCGCCGCCCAACACTTGGCAAGTGAGTCCTGTAGCAAGGCATACGCACACGCCGAGTGGGACCTCGCCTTTGCGACGTTCCACGGGCAACAACAGCGCGTCTTCGCCACTACTCACGGGTCCGCTGGCAGTTCTCGGTTCGCCTACCTCGCGAGCTTTTCAAGATAACAACAATACCCTCAGGCACTCGCCTGTTATACCCTTTGGCACCAGAGCTGTCACTCTTCCGGAAATATCCGGTAACATTAGATCTTTAACCCAGATCGTTTGAATTGTTATTCACATCAGCTAGAGCTATCATCCTTCAATAATAGTCATCAATTAATAATTAATCTCGACATTACTCGGACTGACATTTTATCACTGACAATTTTTCAATAGATAGGATTATATAAGTAAGTTACATAAGTTATACGAGATACAAAAAATTATCAATTGCCTTGATTTATTAATAATTCCTATCTCAATCTTATAAATTTCATTATTCCTTCTTTCTTGTTTGTAGAAGCCGGTAGTTTTCAGAGCCTCTTTCCGGACATACCACCAACGACAATCGATGATCGTCCATTGACGTTCATCGCGCCGGAATTGCCGGAGGAGACGCTGATGGAACGCGAGCATAACGAAATCCTGGCGAAACTGAATTTCGTCGTCGCGTTGTGCGAGTGCGTGTGCGAGGTCGCCCGATCCAGAGCTGGACCGCTTGGTAACATCGAGCAGCCAACGCCACTCAGTGGAATCGAGCAAATCGGTAATGCAGCCACCAGGAAACGTGCCGAGCAAGTGATTCTGCTAGTTCGGGCTCTTCAATGGCTTAGTTCGGGTCTCAATCTGGCTACTCAGGAGCTCAAGGCTGGAAGGTTACAACCGACAGCCACTGTCAAGGAAGGTGAATAGATTCTGGAAATTTAAAAATTTTATTTTTAAAATAATCTAACTTTTAATATAGTTAATTCTATATAAGATTTTTCTCTCTGTTTAAGAACTTTACAATTTCATTTTAAAGTAAAATTTGTGTGCAAAGTATAAAATAAAGCTTTGTTATGTATTTCTATTCTTCTTTTAATTTAATTCACAAAGTATATTTACGAATTTATATTTACAATACAGATATATTGTAAAATGAAAAAAATTGCAAGTTTTAATATATATGTATATAAATTTAAATTAATTTGTATTGATATTCTCTTTAAAATATCTTTCTCTTAAATTTTATTTATATTCTCTCTCTATTATAGTTGTCAGCACCATGAACGAGAAATTCAAGTCGTGTTTATCAGAATGTAAACAACTCAACAGCGCAGGACTTCTTCGTCAAACAGGAGCCACAGCAGACAAGATATTATACAATCATGCGATTCATATGGTAATAAAACTTCATTCTTTTTAATTAAATTTCTCATCATTGTCTCCTATATTTCTTTTCTTTTTTCAAAGTCTATATTTTTAATAATCGAGAGACAATTAAAAGATTGTATCTAATATTGTCATCTGGTATATAGAATATTTAATAAGATTACTTTTGCTTTGCAGTGTCAATCAGCAGCATTGGACGAGCTATTCGGCAAAGGCGGCGAATGTTTCCAACGCTACCATACGGCACAGATATTATTGCACTCGTTAGCACAGCATGTCAGTCACAGTCAAGACCGAGCTCTGCTCATCAAATGTATGTATTGTATGTAAATGTATTTTTTCCTATTTTTTCAATGAAGATATTAATGTAAAATCGTTTCCTTAATTTTTACGACTTCAACTTTCAAAAACTCTATTTAAAATTTTACTCAAATGTGGCATATTCCTTTCTTTTGCATTAGTTTCATATTTACTTGTCAATATGTAACTCATAAACATTAATATTTATTTAAAATTTATTTACATATATAAATATTATTGTTAAATTTTTCCTTTCTCGTCTCATTTGAAGAAAGAAAAAAAATAAAGATTAAATTATAGATTCTATGATTGTCTTGATCACGGTTTACTGTTACTAATTTTTCAGACAAAGAGGCCGTGGAGAAGCGGTTGTACGTGCTACAGCAGCAAGGATACATCTACGCGACCGAGCTTACGTAGCGCTTGTGAAACACGACAGCCGAACACGGCGGCAACAGCCGCCCGGAAGAGGTCCCGCCCGTGCAGCAGTCGCCCGTACCATCGTACTCGATATCTCTCTTATGTAATATATTCTGCCCTATTCTGTATAAAAGGCGAGATTGAAGCCGAGAACTATAAACTCTACAGCTCGAAACGGAGACGGGACTAAATTCTTTAGCGGCTGATTTTATTTTCCCGAGGCTAATTAACCCAAAAAAATCAGAAAGCTCCACCTAGTTCCATGTGCGGAATAGGGTAGACGATGAAGAAAATGAAAGTCTCCTGAGTCACCATATCCCCTATTCGTCATCCGCCCCCGCTCCCTTAAGATTTCTTGATTTGTATGGTTTATTAAAACTCTTAGTACAATTAAGATATGATAATTGTACACTATATAATGTACGTACACGTCGATCGATTAACTAATCTTTATTTCGTATATCGATCAATAAACATGTGTATACTAACGGCGTTGTGCGTTCAATGCAAAGGCACGTCTCGTCGACGACTGTGGTAGTCAACAAACAATAATGACAATTGTACAAAAGTAAAGTAGCGAATGATGGGCATATTCGATTATCTCTCTTTCGTTTCTTCGAAGCTAGGTCCGAGAAAGAACGAATCAGGCTTTTTTGATTGTCGCTGCACATTATTTGCTTTGATTTTAGATAGCAATTTACACATGTCATCTTTAAATGATTATAAAAAAAAGAAATTGGTGCAAATTATATAAAGAAAAACGATGAAAACAATATTTGCAATACTCGCAAATCTTAAAGATGTTTTTTTCTAGTGGCAGCCGTTAAGACGTTCCTAGATTTGATTTTTATAGTTCATTATAAGTTCCCTCAATGATAAAGTTATCTAAAAAAAAAAAACGATGTAATTTTAATAGAAATATTTTGCAGAGGAGAAATATTTTTCTCTTTCTATTTAACTAAATGCTGTTTTCGAATTAGGTATAAAAATTAAAATAGAACATCTTTGATATATGTAAATATTCGATTTTTGCTCAGATTGTTAATTCAAAATTACTGAAGTTATCCGTTGAGCCCATCAATAATCGATCTCGTGTGATGCGTTTTCCTGACATAAAAAGCTAGCTTTTTTTCTAAACAAAGATTTATCACAAGGATCGTTGAAAAAAAATGTAGTCGACCAAACTAGCCAGAAATTTGTTTATTAATACGACGTTTCGACCATATGGTTGTGGTCCTTATCAAGTATATACGATGCAATAATAATCAGGAGACAGGCATAGAGGATAATCTTGCAAAACTGCACAAGTCACATTAACAAAAAACGTTATTTTTTACTCGATTTGAATTTGAGAGAAACTGATGCGTCCGTTTGAGACTTCGTCAAGAGTTTCTTGACAAAGTCTCAAACGGACGCATCAGTTTCTCTCAAATTCAAATCGAGTAAAAAATAACGTTTTTTGTTAATGTGACTTGTGCAGTTTTGCAAGATTATCCTCTATGCCTGTCTCCTGATTATTATTGCATCGTATATACTTGATAAGGACCACAACCATATGGTCGAAACGTCGTATTAATAAACAAATTTCTGGCTAGTTTGGTCGACTACATTTTTTTCAACGATCCTTGTGATTTTCTGACTAGCGACATTATTTATTTTATTAATTTTAAAGATTTATCACTTTCTTTCTTTTTTCTTTGTTATATTAATGTTCTTATTTCTTCTTCTCTTCAGTCTTCTCAGCCGGGAGCTGTTTATTATCCCGGTAAATGACATAGTTGAACATTGTGGCGAGAGAAGTCCACACAAAGTAGGGAATGATGAGATAGCCAGCGACAGGATTGACGTTGTAGAATACGATCCCAAGTGTCGCCGTACTGACCGACAACGCTACAATTTCATAGAGAGCCTGCGCACAAGTATAAAAGTAGTTTTAACAAAGTTTATGATGATTGTCCGAAGCGGTTTTATGGATCATTCTGCGAGTGCTTAATTTTCCCTAAAGTTCAAAATGCGACAGTTAATTATCAAAATCTATATAAGTGCACAGTAGATCCGTTCTTTCTCTAGGATTTCCTTAAAGGAATATTGAGATATAGTTGTATTTGAAACGTGCTATTAATAAATAAGTCGATAAAATAAAGAGAAAACATCTCTTCAGTTGAACATGAAGTAAAAATTTAATTGGAAAAATCTCTCAAAGCGATCCAAACCCGTTTCGGTTTAAAGAGGTAGATAAGATTATGTTCGAGTTAGGAGACTGTTCGAGCGATAATTAAAGAGAGAAAGAGAGAGCTTCTTTTTTTATCATTTTATTTAAAAAATATGAATGTTATCTTTATGTTAAATTATGGAAATTATATATTCTATTAAATAATTTATATAATTTCTATTCTATTTCTACGTGTCAGGTTTAAACTTATAAAGAAAAGATTGATTCTTTCATTATTATAGAAAAATACAAGTTTTTATAAATTATATTATTTAAACTAGTCTTTCTAATTTAAATGGCATTTATTTGTAAATAATTAAGATTATTCTCAAGTAATGTTACTTTACATCTATTTATAATATATTTTTTCCAGTAAATTTCATAATAACTGCAACAATACACTCGAATGGTCTCGTATTGTCAGATTTTTTAAAATTAAATAAACGCGTATGTGTGTGTGTGTGCGTGCGTATCGAATGTAATACCCATTTAACGTTGTGAGTCCCGAAGAAGAGAGGCGACCACGACCAGTTGAGAGCAAGATTAATACCGTACACACTGAGAGGTACGGCCGCCTCCTGGAGGCCACCCCCATCTCGCCACACCAGGTACGACGAGTAGCCCATTGTACAGTAAAGGGTGGTCCATACAGGTGCGAATACCCAGTTGGGCGGAATAATCTTTGATTTATTCAGCGTCTAGAGAACAAGAGCAACGGATTATTAAAGCGCGACGAATATCTATTTACATATAAAGCGATATACATTATATATTAGTGATTAAAAGACCGTGTAATTTATTGTAAAGATTTTAATTTGCATTCTCTTAGATTCTATACTGGTTTTGTGTCAGCAAAGTATCCTGAAAGATAACGTATCAGCGCTTTATACTTGACACTCCTTGTGATATAAATGTATTCGAGAGAAATAAGAGAACGCAAAAGCGTTCGCGAAAGAATCTGCTAATTTCTGCTATAAATACACTGACAAACAATTGAGACTCTTGAAACTGTAATTGCTTGTCACATAATTTACTATAAATACGTTAGATTTTTATGTTTGTTTGTTTCATGGAATTTACGTTTAGGTACAATCGCATTATAAATAATTGTAATTATAATTATAAATAACACACAGCCCTCAAAGTTATTACAATCGCGATATATTACACGGATGTAATACACAATTATGTACGAAAAATATATATATATTTCTAGTTATATATAAAGAATACGCGCACACACATATAGCTGTATGATCGCATTTATATATACATATATAAATAATACGTAATTATTACATATGAGTATAATTATATAAGCATCAGATTACAAAATATAATTATAAATAATTATATAGACAACGATATTTTTATTGCAATAATAATTGTCGCTATGAAAATGTATATGTTTTATAGACAGACCTTAGTACAGACATACTAAAGCAAGCTGGATCGAACGATCTAAATAGCAACAATTCTCGCGAATCGCTCATGTATATCGATTTATGTTTGCCGAGTGACCTTCGTCTATAAACACTTGCACGAGTTTAGAATTATAAATCGGCAAGGAACGCGTATCGAGTATTTTAATCGATCAATTAGAGCTCTTGATTCTTATTATGTGCGATGACGTAATCGCCGGCGTCGGTTTGTCGGAGCAGCTTGATACAGTCGCACGTGATCCTCAGATCCTTACCTCGTACCAGTTCATGTTCTGATGGGTGATGAATCCGCTGAACAAGCCGCCAATATTGGGGCAGACCGTCGCCGTCAATAAAGGCCAATTAATCCGCACCGGCATCTTTCTGGTCCTTGAACTACGATAAAATGGAATGTACAGAGTTCTCGTGATCGTACGTTCGCGGAGAACGTCGATAGACTGAACGTAAAGCTTACCTAGCGACGTAAATCGCTATGACTATTGCTTTTTCACGGCAGTAACGTAGCTATCGTCGTGCGTTGGCTGGGCCTGGTCAACTCGAGTCTTCAACTTGTTACGATCCAGAAGATGATGTATTTGTTTATCGACAATCTTTGATCTCTTTTATTATCTAATAAAAAAGAAGAAGCCGCATAAAACAGTATCTTTGCATCATCAATTTTTTTTCGACTAAAGTCAGGATTACGTACATCATTTGAGAAAGAAAATATGAAGGATAAATGTGTTTCATTCAGTAGATTCAATCCATTAATGTATGAGAGTCCCTCAGTCCCTATTGAACTCGTCGAAAAATGTATATCAACTACGATAAAATATCAATAATTTGAAAGCATCTAAAACAATCATGATAAATAATTATTAACACATGTATAAATAATAAATAATTACAAATTTATTATTATGTTTTTTTCGCATAATTAAATTCAAAGAAGGCAGTACAAAGAAACGCTTACACAATCCTTGCGCGAGATGATGGTTAAATATATAAAAGAGAAAAAAATAGAGAATAAGAAGTATATTATACCTATATATGTATATATTAAAGTTTTTCTACTATTGTGTTATACAAATTGCGCATAAAATAAATCATACACATTCGCAAGTCAACGAGGTACGCTTTTGCGCTTACGTGCGATGCGGGAAGAGAAGTGCGAAAAAAAAAGATGAGTGCTTCAGAGAGAAAAAGAATTAGCGACTCAGTGCGTAACATCTTTCAACTGACACTTCTTGTTTGCAGGATTAAACGACCACGCTTTTTATTTACACATGAATAAATACATTTCAATAAACATATACATGTCGAAATAAAGAGTAATAATTATATGATACACCTCCGATGCACTCTCTTCGCATTATAATTTGTAAGAAATAAACGCGATATCGAATATATATTCGATATATATACAAGTATACATGTACATATATGTATGTATGTATACATGTCAAATAGCTGCATAATTTACATGTGCACATGTATAGTTTGTTTCATAAAATATAGACCCAATCTGAAAGAAAATCTGAAAGAAACTTTAATACTAGCCATATACATATAAATTGTGTACATATATACATGCATGTAGATTTCTCGATGTCTTATCAACGTGGCTTCTATCACGTTCGCAATTGAACATTATTGAATAAATGTTATCAATTCGATCAATAAATGCGTGTATTCCAAGCAAGAACCGTATGCAGAGTATCCCGGAACAAGCGAGTCAAATTGTAACGATTCAGTCTGGAGTCAATTTTTTTCCGATTATCAAGAATGATTTATAAATAATTGACCACTTAAAATAAGACATTTTTTTCGAAACAGGAAAAAAGGATAAAAGATAAAGAAATATAAAGCTATGTAATATTCACTCGAATTCATAGGTTTTAACAAATTTCTTTATTCGAAACCTATTTACAGAAATTTCGAAAAATAGCATTAGAGAGATAATAATCCCGTGCGATGATTTTTTTCCTGAGGAAAAATAGATTCGAAAAATGTGCGTAGAAATGTCTGTTATTGAAATTGGACCAGTTCGTATACTCCGGGATTTAACCGGAGAGCGCAAAAAACATTCACAAAAATACTCTACAACGGATTTTATCAAAAACAAAGTCAGTAAAAAAAGTACACGAGATCGCGATTCCTTTCGTTACGTCGTTATATATTTGTGTGTGTGTATGTGTGTAATTATAGTTTACCTTTACATGACGCAACGAGCAAAGGACTCAGTACTCAAGTGTTCATTAACGTTTTAACGTTAGCACCAACACCACTTTATAATGCAAACTCTTGTTCCTGTTATTCGTAATTTTTCTTGATTTTTCGCGTTATTTATGTTAGTCGAGTTCTTTGCCAGCCGAAAAGTCTTCTTCTCACTCACTCTTTTCGCTTTTGTTATCGTGTACAGTTCTTTCCTTCCTACAATCAGACTTGGATGCGAACAGATGGTCCTTGACGCGTTCCTTGACGAGTTTCTGGGGAATCACCATGATAGTGGTAGTAGTATTGCCTAGGAATAGTACAAGGAACATGGCACTAAGCACTGATACATGCCATGTCGCCTCCGGATGATATGCCAATTGGTATAATATGTATGCGTTGTAAAGCTGAAATAAATAACCGATGAAGAGGAACGGCAGCAAAAAGGAAAGACCGCGCCACATCCACGAGTGAAATCCTTCGATGGTAATGTCCATATTGTCTCTCTCACCTAGCGCTTTCAAGCGATACAAAACGCCACGTTGGTACCGGAACTGCAAGTACTGAACTATACCTGAAAAATAATATTAGTTATTAAATGAAAATTTAATTGTTATAAGCAGTTGAGCGATTGTCTTGCTAAAAATGGTACAACACTTACTAATGTATACATTGAACCACATGAATTGGCTACGAAAGATGTACCATGGTCCTGTGTTTGGCCACACTAGCAGAACAGCGGATACTACAGTTGAGAGAAAGTGATGAAATCTCCACCATCCTTTGATCCTCGAGCCGTTTACTTTAAGTATACTTTCTCTTATTGTCAATGTGCAATAGTACCAAACAAGGAGAAACATAAAACTAAGTTCTAAAGTCCTAAAACATAATGAAAATTATAATAAAGTATTATCTATGAATAAATTTTATATGTAAAGATGAAAAATTATATATTGTTTATAACATATTTATACATTTATACATTTTCTAGGTAGAAAATAATGTGAAATATTGATCATACAAATATGGATTGTATATAAAGATATTTAATACATACCTTATATTAGTAAACAGATTTATTACAGATAGTACAAATCCAATTACTGACAAAACTAATTTAAATTTTTCATATTCATCTTTGTATTTGAATCTGAAAATGAACAAGTATTATGAAATCACTCTGAATGCAACATATAACAGGCTTGATTTTAAAAGATACATACTTGTCACTTTTATTTAATATGGAGACATTAACACTGCCTAGAATAATTTGGAGATATGTGCCATTTGGCTTAGGTAATGTTTGTTCTATCTCGTACAGCTGTTGTTCTCTCCTCGCCATAGATTTTTTTAATTCTTCTCGCCTTTCTCTTGTATTCAATCTGAAAATAGATAAAAGAAGAAGATTATTGCATGTAGCGTTTTATAATTTCAACAATCAAATATCATAGATATTTATATCTTTATCAATATATTTCAAATAAAAGTATTAATTTTTCTCTTATATTCTATAGTATTTGTATAAACTTACCGTTTCAACATCTTGGATATTATGCTCATCCGGTATTTCTGGTGTGAGATTCCTTTCACGCATTTTGCTTGCAACTCACCAATCTCTTCTAATTTCGCAAGATATTCTCTATTTAGTGCCTGTCAACAGATATAAAAGTCTTTTTAGAATACAATTATAGATTTGTGATACACTACTATCATATAATAATCATTTGCATGCTTATTCTCTTATTTTTTAAATTATATCATATACATTATTTTTTAAATTATATTTATTCATACATTTTTAGATCGTTACACATATTTTATCTCACACACTTTGTATTTTTTGTACATATTTATCTCACACATTTTGTTACTTCTCTATTTAATTATATTGAAACAAATTGGAAGCATAATCGCTGCTGTCAAAATAATCTTTTTACGACGTAGTTTATCAAATTAAAATTTTACAGCGCTATTCTTGCGAATCGGAATAGCAATTAATGCGAGAAAATAATTCAGGGGAGGGTGAAAAAATGTTGAAAAAAAAAATTGCACGCCAAGTACGCGCATCGACGATGACTTATCAATCAAGGTCTGGAAATACTGGGAATCTTCCCCAGCATCTGCGACGAAACGCAACCTAACCCGGGACGAATCCTCTCACCTCAAGTTCCTTGTAGTCCTGAGCCAGGTCGTCCCATTCCTTGGTCAGCCCCGGTTCGCAGGTCTCGGCCTCCAGGTCCATCGCGTTGTCGGAAACTCGGAGACGATGTCGGAGACAGGTCCGGGTCAGGTCGGGTCACGTCAGGTTAGGTCAGATTGACAGGCGATCGTCTGGTTTTTCTCGTCGATGTTTCCTCGCGCTTTCCCCACTTCCTGCACCCGCCAAAGGGTAAGAGGGAGGGAGAGAGAGTCAAAGTCAAAAAATGCGGGAAAAGAATGCGTAGAAAGGATTAACTGAGACTAAGACTCGGCGGTTCCAGGCGCACACGTCAGCCTCGTCCACCTTTGAACGGCGGAATGTCAAGACTAGAAGCGGGAGAAGGAGCGAGCGCGGGACAACAGCTGATTAGAATTCGCCGGACAAAGTTAGCGATAGCGCTGTCGCCGATAACGACGCGGAGTCAATGAGAAGGGTCAAGGAACAATGAAGATCGAAGATGCTGCTTAATGCGAGATGCGAGCGCGAAGATTATTTTGATTATTAAAGTTTAATCGAACCTTGGTCGATAGTTTAAAGTATCGATGTTTCATGCTTGATATCCGGTGGGAGCGAGAAAGGGAGGGAGAGAAGGAGAGAGACACTTCGCGAGAACTTTGAGACTTTAACTTCTACTAAAAAAATTATTATTAAAAAAAACAGCTGACGAGGACGAATAATATTAAAATTAATTTTGGTAATTATATACAATTAATTATTATTGATATAAAATGTAAATTGATGTTATATAAAAATAAGTTGAGAACGAGATATTTGATAGTAATTCCATTTTCACTTTTTTTTTATATTTTTCTTTTTTTATTCCTTGCTCGGTATCTTTTATTTTCACTAAACATTATTAAATATTGTAAGTGTGTAAAAGTGTAATTACAGAAAAAAATAAATAATGTTTAAGGTCCTCCGATGCACTAGAAAAAAACGAATAAAAAGATAAACCTTTAATTTAAATTTCTACTGATCAGAAAAAAGTCATATAATAATTTAATAACGATTTAATAATTACGTTATTTTTTTGATAATATATTATATATTATTAAAATAATATTTTTTAATAATTAAATAATAATATTAAACATTAAATTAGTATTAAATAATATTAAACATTAAATTAATATTAAATTAATATTAAATTATTTTAATAATATATTATATTATTAAAATTCGAAAAAATGTAAATTTTCATTTTTTTTATTTTGTAAAAATAAAGTAAATCGAAGAGAAATGGAAGAGGGTGACATCTTATTATTTAAGGATCTGAACTTTTGTATCTTTATTGCATTGCTGATGTTCAGTGATAAGATATAATGCACATGTGTTGTGCGATCTTAGATGTGCGAACAGCGAAGATCTTGAAAATTGTTTACCTAGTTAAAAAGACACTGAATAAAGGTACATAAAATATAAAACCTGAAATTTACATAATCAATTTATTTTGAATAAACTTAGCATATTTCGAGATAGAACTGACGTGTTTTTCTCTCTTTCTCTGTTTTTCTCTCTTTCCGTTCTCGACAGATCGTTTCAGCTATTTTACCATTCAAATGTTCTTTTGCATTATTTATACAGACGCTTACAAGTTGGTTCAAAATTTATTGAGGAAACTTATTGAACAAAAAATTCTCTTTTTTTCTTTTCAAAGGTGAATCCGAATATAAGTGGATCCTGAAGCTTTAAACGTCCATGAATTTCTTTCATCCTTTAAGATAGAAGGAGATTCAAGCAATTCAAGAATTTTATTTAAGGAAAATTGTGGTAAATATATTCTCATTCATAAAAAAATTGAACAAATACAAGAATACATTAATTTGAACACCTAGTGTTTTAATCTAATCATCAGGAAATTGCGAATTAATTTTACAGATTGTTTTATGAAAAAAATTAAATAGATTTTAGATAATTTTCAAGACAATGTTTGAAATAAACCTTTTTTTACACATTTATTCACATTTTTACACATTTATTCTATCAAATATGTAATTTTGAAAACGCAACATTTTCCAGAAATTCGGTCGCGTGTCTCCGATCGAGATGAGAGGGATGAACGACGTTCCTGTTCTATATATAACTGAGAACTTACAATGGGGCATACGATCTCCTGTTGCGAGTCTAAATGACTCTGTTTGTATCGAGGAAGTTCAGAGGAGATCATCGCGATCGGCTTGGCTTCAGCTTTGTCCCGTTTCCGCCCTGTCGGCCCTGTACTTCCGGTTTACCGCGGCCGACAATCAGGAAGCCGAACGCGCGGCAGTGGGCATCGAGATGCTCGCCAGACGAGTCCGATTCCGTAGGACGGTTTGTTAGATCGAGGGAGACGCGTGAAGAGAGTTCAAGCTTCGACTCACCGGATACAACCAAAGGACAGTCATCAGAGAAGCATATAACACCTGAAAAAATATAAACAAGTGTCAGTTTTCAAGAGCGACGATGAGCATTGTTTTATGATAAAGAGAAGTGTTGTTATTAATTCGAATAGAGAGTGTCTGTAGAGGAATATAGTGATATGAGCAGAAGGACTGAGCACAGCTAGAATATAATTGTGTTGGTGCGTATGTATAAGCACTTATCTTATTAAATAGCTGTTTGAAAAAGATCAAGCAAGAACTGTCAATTGCTTCAATGTGGCAAAAATTAAATTAAATTAAATAAATTAGTAGTCTTTACATTTAGCTTTTTTTAATGTTAAAATATGAAGATTTATTTAATTAAAAATAAAGCGACCTTTTTATGAAAATTTTGACGAAAAGTTGCTTACAAATTGAACCGCTTGACTGGAGTACAAATTAAAGTTACCAAGTTAAACTACTGAATTAAAAATTGTATAAAATTCACGTGTTTGAGAAACACTGGATCAAAGGATAGCGTCTTATCGTGTTTTCGAGATTCGGTCGACGACCAACCACACTCGCTCATTAGGACGGTTCAGTTTCATCGATTTTCCAGCTTTTCTTAAAAAATAGAATGTACCTTTCTATAAACCAGTTAAACGAGAAATGATAATGCGAGCTTATGTGCCTACCTGTTTAGTAAGAATGAGATGATCCATAATATATTACCTGAGATATATTTCATAGAGTACGTTGCATACATTGAGTATCAGGGGGAGATCGTATCTGAGTGGCATCGAGGCATTCTGGAACGAGTGCCTCGTACTCGCCGATGAAAAACGCGTCGATGAGAGATAAAACTTGTCAATTTGTTACGCTGAAGGAGTGTATATGCACTTTGCCTCTGCGTATCATCCTGTTTTCTTAATTGCGTCCTTTATCTCGGGACGATGCAGCACTTTCTCGTTGCCTGAAGGAACGCATAACGCATCGAGTTGTGTTAAAATAATATTCTCCTCTTGCTTCTTGAAATAAAATTTATACGCGTTATTCTTGCGTCGTCCTGATGATTTCGTTGACTCGAAGAAAAAGGTGCTGAATCGATAATACGATCTGATTTCTCTCGACAGTGAAGTCGCAATCGTCCGCTCAGTCCTCGCGAATTCATGCACCTGGTGTGGTGGTGAAGATGCAATGGATGATGCGAAGAATCCCGCATATAATCTCGAGGTTGGCGAACTATTGCGGTGAGTTCAATGCCTTGGTCTCCAAAGAACGCGGATGCGATCGGCGATTCCTCATCTTGAACGAGAAGGAAGATGCCGCTCGCTCTTCGAGAAACGTTGTCGACCGAAATTTTGCGTTATCGCGAACGTTCGCGAGAGACTTTGGCACTTCCGCGAGGAAGACACCGCCTGAACCTCGAAGAGTCCCATTTCTCGGCACGATGTTGTCCCTGATGATGGCCGGTGGCCCGCAGAAGCTGCACGAATACGTGGACAAGAGGCATCAGGAACTAGGCCCGGTCTTCAGGGAACAAATCGGGCCACTGTGGATCGTCTTCGTCAATTCGCCCGATGAATTTCGCAGGATCTTCCTGCGACTCGAGGGTCCTACGCCGCAGCACTTTCTGCCGGAGGCCTGGAGACTCTACAACGAGATCCGGGAGCAGCGACGAGGATTGCTCTTCATGTATGTAATGTTCTTCTATTGACGTTATTAAAAAGTTCAGTGGAATTAGACGTTGATGATTAAATTGTCTCCAAGGAAAAATTTCAATTTTATAAAAAATAGTTTCCTTACGCCTTTCGAAACAGGGATGGAGATGAATGGTTGCACTTTCGCCGGATCCTCAACAAGATGATGCTGCTGCCCGATTCGACAGAACCGATGTGCGTGCCCTGCCAGGAAGCCGCCGAGAATCTAACGAGGAAATGGAAGACTTACAGTTTAACCGGAGCTACAATACCGAATCTGGAGCATCAACTTTATCTGTGGTCTATCGAGGGTGAGCCTTTACACGAACGATTCGTCATTCCCAGTATTTGTATCATTAATGATTAACGATTAATATCATTAATTGATGGCATAAAAGTCGCATGTTTTCCTTGCAGTGATGTTGGCGACTCTGGTAGGGTCGCGATGGCGAGATTGGAAGCCGCAAATAGGTCCCGAGACGGAGTATCTGGCACTGATGCTGCATCGGATCTTCGTGTTTTCCGCCACTCTGTCGATGATGCCGGCCAAACTAGCGATGAGACTCAGGTTGCCGGCGTGGACCAAGTTTGTTCACACTGCTGACATGATTATGGCCAAGGTGCGCAGTCTAGTCCCGGATATGATCTCTCTAAGTAGCGATGGACTCCTATGGATGATGATGAACGAAGGTATCCACAACGATGACGTCGTGAGAATCATCGTCGATTTTATCATAGCCGCTGGTGACACGGTACGCTTCTCAATCCATTAATATACAAAGTGTCTGGGTGTAATTTATTTATATTTGACAAAATACAGGATGTCCCAGACTTAACGAATCAGCCGTTAATAGCAGATTTTAAGTCTGGAACACCCTGTATGGCTATTAATTTTTTTAAATTTTTTTAGAAATAAAACCTTTATTTCCACATTTTTCATGTACTTGAAATTGAATTCTTTTTGTTGTATCATTAATTATAAAATAATCCGTATTTGAAATATGATATTCGTCAAGATGTTTAAATTATTTTCACAATAAAACATAATTATTTGAAATCTCCTGACATTGAATACCAGTATTTTAGCTGAGGAAATGTAGATGGTTATAATTAATTACAATTAAAATCGAAAAGACAAAGAATTCTTAGAGACAAAGAATGTTCACGATGTCTTCTGAATGTCTTTTCGAAATGCAAATTAAATATAACTCATATATAGAACAAGACATATTATTTTTCGTTGTTTTAGACGGCGGTCACCATGCAATGGGTGTTGCTGTTGCTCAGCAGTCGTCCCAAGCTGCAAGATCAATTATTTTCCGATATCAAGGATCTGCCGCCGAAAGAGATCCTGCGGCATCCCCTATTAAAAGGCGTGTGGAGAGAGGCACTAAGGTTGCACCCTACCGCACCTTTCCTGTCGAGATACTTGCTGGAAGACACCACAATTGGCGGCTATTTTGTGTCGAAAAAGGTAATCTGCAGAATAATAAATGTCTTTGTTATATCGTTTTAAGCCTCGACGAGGCTTATTATGCGTAGATAAAAATGTTTGTAAGAAATATACATACTTTTTTTTCCGCCAGGACTTGATCATTCTGTCGATTTACTCGAGCGGGCGTAACGGGGAAGATTTTCCAGAGCCGAACGAGTTCCTGCCGGAAAGATGGGTCAGGACGAAGGACAATTTTTACCAGGGCGTGAAGAATTCTTATGCAACTCTGCCGTTCGCGATGGGCGTGAGAAGCTGCATCGGTCGCAAGCTCGCGGAAACGCAAATGTCCCTCACGTTGGCGCAGGTGAGATGGTCGCGCGACAAATCCAATTCATCAATTAAATGCAATCTTGTATATTTTGTTTTTTTTTCTTTCTTTGCAGCTTATCAAAAACTTCAAGATCGAGTGCGAGAATCGCGATGGTATAAAGATGATTTTGCATCTGATTTCTATACCATCGAAGCCTATTCAATTAAAGCTGACAAAAAGGAAAGTATAGTGAAGGTGAGACTATAGAGGAAAAGATTGATAGGATAAAGAAATAATTGATATATAATATAATGAATATACATAAAATATAAAAAAAATTCAATTCAAAATGCTAGAGAATATATGATGCAGAAATCAATAGTATTAAATTTCCGCATATACGTGTATGCCACGTCATAATCTATGAAGGTAAATAAAAAGCAAATATAAAAAATTTGCTACATAAATTGGAACTTTCGAAGGAATATCTTTTATAAAAGAAAAAAACATTTAAAATGTTTTGCAAAATCTGTATTTAGATTAAAAAATTAATCTGTATTTAGATTAGATCCATATTTTTATTTGTATGGATAGAGAAAACGAGAAAGCCAATTATAAGAGACTTTCGAACTCCGATGTTAGATAAATTTGCGAAAATATATAAATAATAAATATATGATAAAGAAGCAGTAAAGAAAGAGTAAGGGAGGAAAAAAAAGCCTAGAGAAGGATTGAATAATAGCGGAGCAATCATGGGGTTTACAACTTATTACATTTATTTATTATTTAAAAATAAAAATATAATTTTTCAAATGTTACTTCCATAAAGTAATTCATGTTACATCATTGTATAACATAATACATATAGAAAAGATTCCAGAGAGATTATTTTACAATTTTTAAAACTTTTATAACAAAATTCTTTTACTAATTTATTTTTATATAATATTTCAATATTGTATATATATAATTTATAATTACTTAATTTACTTATAATATAAAAATTTGTTATATACATTAAAAAATCTGATTTTTATTTATTCTATAAAAGTTTGCTAAATTTTGTTAAATTTTTTTCGAATTATGTATTTTAATTATTAAATATTTATTGTTTACAAATAAAAAATCAATTGTGCGCGATTATTTTTTAAAATATTATTTCGTGCAAACTTATTTTATACTACGTGTAATTTAAATATATTTGTGTATGTTACAGATCAATGTTATACATATAGTATTGTTTCGTTTTTGCATATTAGAGTGCATCGTATCAGTGAATATAATTAAAATCGATATCTATACATACTACAAGATTTAAATTTTCTGACAGTTTCGGTGTTTTATTTTAAATATATAAGTGGCACACTTTAAGATTTTTCATTATAAAAAATAAAAAGAAAATAATTTTTTGAGTGTTAGGCTTCAGAAAAAAGGATTAGATTTATCTCACGAAAACATGTTTAAAAGTATAAAAATTTAAAAAGTTACAAATTTAAAAATAAAACGAATTAAGAGAAAAATATTTTGTATGATGGACTTATATGCTTCTCAAGAATACTCTCCGAATTTCAATAAATTTTGAGAAAGCAATTTTTATATTTCAAGACTAATCATTTCAGGAGATTTTCAATTTTAAAGATTAGTTTTAAACATTTTAAACATTGCATTTCGAATCAAATTTGATTTCTATTTCTATTTCTATTTGAGCGAGAGCAAACATAAATCATTTGGTATCTTTGTAATGTAATTTGTTGGAACCAGAAGTTCAGCTTTTTACCTCAAATTTACTCATTTCTTTTTATATGACGGTGCAATGCTTTGATATGCGTGAGTCTCTGAACTATAATCCTTCCAATAAGAGAGATCTACTTGTGGGAGGTCACTGCATCTCCGAAGTGGATTCCTGAAATTGATCTTTATTGAAGCAACTTATCTTGGGAGTGATTGTTGCAAAAAAATAGATTCAAATTAAAATGGCAAAAATTAAATAAAATAAATCAATAAATACAATAAAATAAAATAAATTAAAGAAATTAAATTAAATTAATTTAAATAAATAAAATAAATCAATTAAACTTACTCCTTGGAGACTTGGGCGAATCCGAATCTTTGCATATTCTGGATATTGTCTCCATTATCGCAGAATAGTCGAGATATACTTGACTTACGCAACTCGTTCAATTGTTCTGTGATATAAGAAGAATAATCTTTATATTACAAATAATTAATATAAAATTATTAATTTTATATTAAATATTTAATTTATATTTTTTTATTTAATTTAGTCTTTATGCAATAATTAATATCTTATATCGTGCGATAAAACTTATATATTTATTATTGTGATTCACTTTATTAACGTACCTAACGTAAATGCTATCTTTGGATCTCCGGTCTCGAACCAGTAGCGATCACCAATTCGGGTTTGTTGAAACTGTCTCAACATGATGCACAGAAACGTTGGACCCGCCAGCGTTCCGCTCACGTGTCTTTCCAAAGCCCCGCCGACAGTCAATTCGACGTCATCCGGACTAGCGTACAATAAGGAAAGTTTTTGTATGTTCTAAAAATTAGAAATTTACTTTCAGTTTAGAAAACATTTGATTGACATTTTAGAAAGCATTTGAATATCTTGATTATCGAAAAGATGTATGCTTCATTTACCGAAGCAGATATAAGATCGTTAAAATCCTCAAAAATTTTCGCTCGTGATAATCCGCAGTATTCGCGATAATCGTTGTAGGAAGCGAGTCCGTGATCGCGATCCCTTTGTATGTCTATCGCTCGCAAATCAGACCCGAGGGGTCTTCCTCTTCGGAAGAAGAATTGTGTGATCTGCAAACAAGATTACTATTATTGAGAAAAAAAATTTATTAGACGGAATATTTTCTCCTCGATGACACATGCATTTTTATTTTGAATAATATTTATGAGTTTGCACTTTTAAATTCTTTTCTTGTCATCGATTTTAATTTTATTTTATGAGTACCTCTTTGTCGAAAAACTCATCCGTATTACTTTGCGGTTGATAAGCCAAACCTCTAGTTAAATCGTCCAAATTGTTGCCCCTTTCTATGATAGCAGGTCTGTTGAAGTGATCACTCAATCTCAGACTAGTGAAAGAGGAATATTGTCGACTTTCCGGCACTAAGCTATGGGATAAAATTTTATTTCGAAAATTAAATTTTATTTTATTAAGTCAAATGAAATAATAAATCGAAATAAAATAAAATTTAATTGAATTAATTTAATTTTTATTTCGATTTGTATGTTTGCAATAAGTTATTTTACAAATTTATCATTTTCATATTTATTCGATCAATTTCGGAGCAACTTGAAAATACTTGATCGCAAAAATAATTCATAAAAGAAAATTGATTCAGATTAAATTAAAAATTGATTCAGACTAAATTAAAAAATAAAGTATATTTTTAATTCATAATTTGATTTAACAAAGCATATAAAATTGAATAAATTTTATTACACTATCATAATACGCATATAATTGATATAATTGATGTAATATAGTATTTAATATCAAATAAACTTTTATGTATTTTGAGACAACGGGAGTTAATAAAATTTATTAAATACTTACTTAAGATGGCCAACAATATTCGTATGGAAATATCTAAAAGCTGCATTTGCATGTTCGTTTAAAGTGTTAGTAATGACCGTTTCGTCGTAATCATTTACGTAATCCTTAGTATCATACACGATTTTGTTCTGATAGACTTGTGCATTACCTGTAATATTAATTATTACTAATATTGCAATCTAAATATATAACAATAACAATATATAATATATAAAAAATAAATAATAAATTACAAAATAATAAATAATAAATAAATAAATAATATATAAATATAAACAATAAATAAATAATAAATAATATAGCTAAGTGTATGAAAAAAAAATAAAATGTATATTTTTAAATCAGATTTTTGTATCATATTTTCGAGATAAACAAGACTTATTTCAATTTTTGATAAAAATTAATTCAACAAATTTAATACGAAAAAGGGTTCAAGGCTAAATCGTACCTAAGAAAATCGGCAGCCATTCGTAATATACAATATTTTGATGTTCAGCAATTACGATTCGACGTGTTTCTTGAAATATCGTTTCATCGGACCAGGAAGGATTCAACTGCGCCAGATAATCGGCAACGCGATTGTGTTCCCTGAGCAATATAATTTGTAGAATCGTCAGTTGAGGATTCTGATTCACTCGCGAATCACCTGAAAAGGAAAAAAATTATCGCCTCATTTTTATTCTTTTATTTCCCAAAAGTAATGCGAGTGTCCGTTACATTCGCAGTGTAAAAAATTGAATGTGTCGCGAAGAAATAGGTATTTGTCGATTAAGATGCATGCGAACGTGCGTTTATTCTCACCGGCAACGTAGCATGTCTCGAATTCATATATCGTGTCGCAAGTGGCGGATTTATTAGATGCCGATGGTGGAAATTCCCTGTTATTTTTCAACTCCACATTTAATCGTCCACCGAAACCAGCTCGCAAACTAGCCGCGACCTCATCATTGGACCCGTAGACAAGCGAAAGGTCCAAATACTGACTGACGGTGTTCAGCTGGAAAACGTTGTATAAGCAAATAAATTAAGTGAATAAATTAACTTTCTTCTATTAAAAAACCTTTGAGTTATATTCGAATATAAATGTAATATTCAAATATATCTTACTTATTATTCATTACTTATTGTTCATATAAACACTACAATAAAGATAGAGACAGAATGCGAGAAGGAAGAATGATTTAGAAAAATTCCAATCGCGGATACAGGAAAGCCTAGAAAGAATGTCAAGTTCGCGTAACATAAGGACATTTAATTATTGATCGTATTCTAGTTTTCTTTAGTTTCCTCTGCATGTAAGTGAACTTGATATAATGAATGGACGAGATGCAAGTGGGAAACCTGTTCTGCCGGCTTATACGAAGACGAACAGCCACGATCAAGGTCGGTCGTACTACGGACAAAGTTCATGCACTGCATGGGCGTCTTGCTGTACACTGGGTCATCATCAGGTATGATTATCGGGTAGCACTTGGACTTCATCATCCAGCCCGGTGTCAGCTGACCGTTGGTGCAACATCGCGTACCATGTGGTTCTGCGATTAAAGAAGGGAAATGAATTAACAAGGGCTAATTAAGTTGCTGACGCATCCTTTGTATCCTAGAAAAGAGAGACACGTACTTGATTGAGTCGTGCCGTCGATCAGGCCCATGTCATGCGTTATAATCTGCCCGTATTGCATCGCCACCAGGGTCCATATCCTGTCTTCGACTTTGACGTTAGGGAACAACGTGAAACTGACGGTTCGAGCCAGTGGCAGCTCCTCACCGGTGATGGAGCTCGTTGGCGCTCGAATTCCTACGTTCAATAAATTTTGGGAAATTTTTCTCGGTGAAATTATTGCATCATTCTCATTCACGCGAGAGGTACCGTTATAAGTGGTCGTTTTAATCAGCGCGTTGACCAAACTTTAGAAAGTATTCGCATAATTTTTGCAGAAAGTTTTTACGTAGACACTAGAAAGTATAGACATAGGCATACATAAAAAAGTTTAATTCAAACCAGTTTTAGAATCATGTATTACGTTACGGTTTAATGCGCAAATTGCTTTTAAAAATGCTTTTATTTAGTATGTATTTGTGCTTACATCAGAATTTATCTCGATGAAATTTATTGGCTGCTACTTTTATTCCTTAATTTAAAATAAATTTATTGCCAAAAGTGATCGCTGATCGAGTCAATCTGATTACCAGGCTCATTAATATAAAAAATATAACAGCGATAACAACTAATAATAAAAGAATTCTTAAAAGTAATACTATATAAAATTAAAACTTTCTAAAATAATTAAGTATCAAAAGAATGAATTTCGAGATTTAAAAAAAATTTCCTATTTTTATTCTCAATTTATATTCCCATTTTTCTAAAGCAGCTGTTTTTAATTTATTTTATAGGAAGACGTTTTGATTATTATTTTCGATTTTTTTATTATATTTATAATTTTTATAATTATAATTTTGATTTATTATTTTATTATAATTTTATTTATTATTTTAATTTTTTTATTATAATTTATTATTTTAATTTTTATTATTTTATTGAAACTATAATTTTGAAAACAGCAATGAGCAAGCTAACAAAAAAAAATGTTTTAAAAGACTTTATTGGATATGTGTAAAACATTAATGCAAAGTTTGCTCTTTCCCATTGAATTAAATTGCTATATACCACAATCACTTTTATATCATGCTCCGGTTATGGCACTTCGTTCAAATGCGAGCAAAAATTGCGAATGAGTGTGTCTATCTTTTTGTTCATACTTAGGGATTATTTGTATGCCGTTCGCAAAGTCAAATCGACCATGACAAATACTGTGAGTATTGTGTCAGCGCAACGAATGAGAATTGATTTTATTTAATGTCACAAGAGCCTAGTGCAAACCTTTATTCCCACTATCGGTTGAAAATCTTAGCAAATTATCATTTAAAGTATTTCTAGTAATATTTCTTTTCATTATCGCGATTATCTTACTTTATTATTTATTATTTATTTTATTATTCTATTTTTTATTTTATTATTTTCTATTATTTATTCTATTATTTTTTTCTATTATTTATTTTATTATTTTATTATTTTATTATTCTTACTTGTGATTGAATTATATGATCACTCTCGAAAAAATAATTAACACAAATTTTCTCGTTGCAAACTTTTTATAAAATAATTAATTATTAATTTTTAAATTTAAATTTTAAATTTTTTAAATTTAAATATATACAAGGCATATCTTATTACGTTCTTCCGCAATCGATGTTAATAATTAATAATTCAATATAATGAATAATTGAAAAAAAAACATATTTACATATGAAATATGTGATTATTCTCACCATCGGCGTAACGTGGACGTACGAGTCTTCCGTATCTTGTGTTGGCCAGACCCCACGTGGGATTTCTAAGATTATTGCAGGAACCGTCGTAGCTTCGATATCGCGAGTGCTGACAGCCTTGGGGAAAAGTATCGCCGCATTTGATTTGTTGATGAATGCTATCGGTCGCGTTTTGGCTAAAAGGAAAGTTTGAACAAATATTAAAAGATAATAAAAATAGACATCGCGCAAATTGTTTTGTCACTATTTGCAAGATTGTGAATTGACTACGCTTTTCATTGACTTACGTGGATGTCGGGAAATTTGACGAAGGCGGAAAATATGACAATGGGTTTGTCGAATAGTAAACAGTAGGATGATAATTGCTGAAGATATTTTTGTGAAACGGGCCGAAATATGAAGTTTCTGAACCTTCTAAATCCGAGAGCTTGTCTTCCTTCTTTTCTGAAAATTTTATAAATCGATATGAATTATAAATGACAAATATTACAAATTAATATGAATTAATATAATACTTTGTAACATTTATTAATTTATATTAATAATTATTTTATTATTATATATTAATAAATGTTGTAAAATATATTTTATGAAAATGTATCTATTAATCTATTTATAACGATTGCCATTATATTAAAATTGTGAAAGACCTGCAATGTCATCGTTACTTTCAATAGTCTAAAATGGTCGTCCTTCATTTTTTGCCATTAGCGATCAATTTGCTATAAAAGTAAAAGCCCGATTATATAATTTTCTCACAAAAGACGATAGAATATTTTATTCTCAACAAAGAGAATATTTATCTCGCGTAGAGTTTATATCGATAGATCGCCCTCATTTCTCGGCGCAGCATTTTCTTTAATTACTTATCGTACTTATCAGATTTAGCAGCGATCGCTGTCAAGACAATTAACGCATAGATCCATCTAATGATACATAAATCCCAGGAGACTCGCGATTTAAATCGATTCCCGAGCGAGGGAGAACCTTTCACTATTCGTCTGAACGTTAAATGTTACACAGACGACAAGATATAATCGGTTCGCCTCTGTATCATGTAGAATGAACTCCTTGTGAATACTTAACTTATATAAAGATACGATATGACTTTTTCTCCTTTTAAATTATTCAACTGAATTTTTTTCACGCATCCTTTCGAGAGAATGTCTTCGAATTATCTAGCTAGATCGACGATATAAATGAATCGCGTGAATTATACGAAATAAAAAGAAGAATTTTCGCAACATTTTGTTAGTTCGATGTTTAATTAATTTTATGCCGGCGGCGAACTATCGTCATGATTCGTCATGATTCGATCATTTCCTAATAAGTACCCAATTATGTTCACACAGCAATATAGTCTTTTTCTCAAGCAGAAATCATATTACTTCTATAATAAAAAATATAGAGCAATTTTGATTTAAGAGATTATTTTAATTTAATTATTTTTTAATTCATAATAATTATATTATTTTATATTAATAATTTAGTTTATTATTTTTAATAATATTTTTAATAATATTTTCAATAATAAAATTTATTATTTATTTCATTATTTTATATTAATAATTTAATTATTTTAATTTGAGTAATATTTAATATAAATAATTGATATTAGTGTTAAAAATATATTTAATAAGAGTATTTAAAATTTAGAATTTAATATCAATTTAACATATTTTTTATTTTATTCTAGTTATTTAATAATTATCTTATTATTTAATAATTTATATAACTAATATTTTAAGATTATAACTTATCGCATGATTTAATATTATTTTTAATATTTCATAATATCTGTCACATATATACGAGTATTACGTATGTTTTAATATTAAAAACGCGAATTGAATTTCATCAAATGTATTTGTTTGTACACTTGCATATATGTGTTAATAAAACAGGACGCACATTATAAGAGCGGTCGGGACATGCCCATGTTTTGCACGCGCATTCCAATTCAATGTGCATACATTTCATGGTTAAATAGCAGAGAGAGATGGAAAACTCTTCTGATTGCTACCGAGCATATCTCCTGTTTCTATCACGATTCCTGCGATCGCCGGGCGGACACCTTCTCTCGAAAATGTAACATGCATTGCGGCGGCACACGAGCGCTTTTTTTCTATCTCGCGAACCATTTCTTGCCATTAAAACTCCCACTTATTGCACAAGGAACGTGCCGCGGTGCACGGTCGCACAGTTTCTCCTTTACCCTGCCCTGTCCCGATTATTATTCCTGTTATTGCTATTAGAGAAAGCAGAGATATTCGAACCAGATTGCTATATTTCCCGCGTACTTATGTAAAGAATCATGAATGCGGAATTTAAATGCTAGTTCTTCGAACTGGACCAAATGTTTATCAAGATTCTTTTAATTGTTTATCAAGATTCGTGTGCAATCGGTTCAATGTTAATAGGAAAAACATCACATTTGTCACACAAGTCTACTTAAAATTTCATTTCAATAAATTATTAATTTCAGATTTTATAAACCGACTTCAAATTATTTGAAAATAGTTGAAAATTACAAAATCGAGCTTAAATAATAAATTTCATGAATTTAAGTTTAATCTTCAATTTATACAAGAAAATATATTGTTATTAAAGTACATAATAATCCATTAGATATTTCGTACATTTATCTTTCTTCTCTCGAACCAGAGATCACAATTTTTTAATAAAATATTCTATATATAAATATTTTACAATAATATAGAAAATTACAAAAATATACCTCGATAAAATTAAAACTTGGAATCAAATCTTGTCGTTAAATTACCCTAAAAATTTGACGTCGAAGGAAGAAAGAGTGAAATTTACCTGCTTGCAATGGAATGTTTTTCTTCGTCGTTGCTGCATCCTTGGTGCTTACGACTACCAGCAAGCAAGCCTGTATAAGAATTGCGATAAAAAAGCTCGCAAACCAGAAGTCATTTTGGCGCTGCATATCCCTGAAATTAAAATATCAAGACACCTTTAGCTAGATATAATTCTTTATGTAATATTATTCGAAAATTATGCATTCTTATGTTTCTTATGCGATCGTCCAGCTAGCATTAGTCTAATTTATTCTGAAGATAAGTCAGTATCGAAAATATCCGTAATACAATTTCAAGATGAATCCTTGAATATAAATTAATAATATGTCATGATAATAATGTGTGCGAATACTTTAAATTTCTGTTCTTAAAATCACGCAAAAATGTTACGAAATTATCAAATATTTTTTCAATTTACTATAATTTTGCACGATCTCAAATTAAAATTGTCTCACGAGTCCTTCTAAGCAGCTGCTTTTATAAAATGCTCATTGAATAGGCTTGCTTAGGCACTAATGCATTATTAATGCACTATTAATTTTCGCATATATCAAAAAAGGAAATTGAATTGACGATACAATAAAGCAGATGGCATGAGCACTTTATTGCGTTACCTTGATACTATTTTTATTCTTATGGCGGTAATAGTTTCTGAGGCCAAACAGAAGCTATTCTTCCGAGTAAAATTAAATATTCCAATATCATGTAAAGAGGAAATATAATATTAATATATAAACAAATTTAAATTTTTCTTTTTGGATTATTATTAAAAGTTTTAATGTCTGCAATAAATTTGATAAAAATAACATCGCGAAGAAATTTTCTGGCTTATAATTTGTTTCTTTCCCTTGCATTGATATTCATCTTGCTGACATTGCGATGTCAAGAACTCAATTTCCCGCTGATGCGTGGAAATCCAACCGCAATATTGCATTCGCTCTCGAATGCAATTTGCGGTATTTTTTCATCTGATTACTGAGACGAGCGTGAAATGTTAACAGACGTGCATAGATTAACGTGGCTGGTGCACGCGAGCGGCAAAACAGCGCACGTGGAACGATGGTGCATGAAATCATAGCACGTGTTATTTATTATTTTATTATTGTTCAATGTCAACAAAATTGATGAAATTAATTTCGCGAATATGTTCTTTTGTTGAATTTATCCGAAGAATTTATTCATATTAAGAATTTATTCAATTATAAATCAATTGTATATCTCGAGATAATTTATTTGTTGCAAAATGCAATATCTCTCAAGTTACCTAATGACTTCGTATTACAATTAATTATGTTTGCATGATACACTATTCATTAAAATGGCTATCGATTTATCGTGTATTAAATTAATTGCGATTTATTGTTGCGCAAGATCGCATGGAATATCGCTCATTATTTGATTTATATCGCGCAAATAGAAACTCTCGATTGCGGCCGTTTTACGTTTCTATAGCGATTACGTTGCGATGAATTTTTATCGCGCGGTATATTACAATGTACGTACAATAACATGTTCCTATACTCGTGGAAATGTACGATATACATTTCGACATGTATAATTAAAAAATGCAGTTCCGCAAGAATAAAAAGAAAACTCCGACATAATTTGACGCCAGGAAATTATCGAGCGTCGAGATAAAATTAACTAAATGAATTGACGCTTCAACGTATAATTTGTTATTGAATAATTTGTATCAGTCTTGTCTTTCTTTAGGGTAGAGTTTACGCTACGTTAAAAATTGCGATAGCGTAAAAATTCCGACACTTTACCAATTTACACTTGATATCAATCATGTATCAAAAATGCATCAAAAATTAGTGACATAAATTAAACAAGAGTGACAAATGATGAGACAAAAGTCGGAGATCACTTTTTTCTCGACACTTTTGCAGCGTGAAATTAATCTATCTTGCAATGTTTTTGATATGAAAGACATCTACGATCTTAAAATTTAATCAGAATTAATAATTGTGACATTAAGTCTAGTAAATTATTTAATGCCATGCATTTTAATTCTTTGACAATAAAATAAATTTCTTTGAAGCTAATTAAAGATCTAAAATTATATTTTTTATCTTATATATTAAGAGAGAGAGAGAGAGAGAGAAAGAGAGAAAGAGAGAGAAATTTGAATTCGTACACAATGTAAATTAAATTATTTATACAATTTTTGTAAAATGTAAAGAGCAGAAATATTATAATTTATTATATTTATAAATTAAAATAAAAATAAAATTGGTTCAAATAATACAAATTAAGATAAATTTAACTTATTATAATTTATAATTCATATATTAATATATATATATATATATATATATATATATATATATATATATATTATAGATAATATTATTTATTATGAGATAATATTATGTATTATAATTTATAATTTATATTTTTAAGATCTTTATATTTAATAATACATATCTCTCTTATAAAAAAAAGTATGTTGTAAGTGTGAAAATCCAGATTAAAATGATACCTGCATTCAAGATTTATTTTACAAATAAATTCAGATTTGATATCGGTGTTTCATGCATTAAACATCTCGGGGGGATGGAGACATACATCACGTCTCGTTCTCACGTTCGCACATTCGCATACGTTACTTCGCACAAAAATCCATTTAAATTACAGCAGCCCCGGGCGTAAATTGCAATTATATCCCGATTGTGCTACGATAACCTTCGCCGAAACGGCGCAAAAAGCCGCTCATTTGCTTTCCCCTTTATTGGCAACAGCCAATTTATTGCACAATTCGCGATAGTCTGTACCCCATCGTTGAAGGTCGTCCGATTTTACCTGCGTCGGTTGCCGAATAGCAACCGGTGCCTATTTCCAACCGGATTTTCCCCGTGATTCAGCGACTATGAAACGCAAAATATATTTTCTCGACGAATCTATTACGAATTCTGATCAAGGGAAATACTCATATCCGTTTATGTCACGTGAATTAGACGTGGAAATTTTAATTAGGAATAGTACAAAATGATTCGAATTTTTATATACGCATAATTATTAATATTTAATTATTTTAATATTTAATATTTAATATTTAATATTTAATATATGTGTTTCTTTTAATAATTAATATATGTATTGCTTTCTTTATTCATCTATACGTAAAAGGAAATGATTATTTTTAATAATTTTAAAATTATTTTTTGAAATAAAATTAGATGTAATTGGAATCTATAGATACACGAATGATTTCAAGGTGTATACATTTCTGATTAGGAATTATATTTAAATCCATATACATGCATTATTGTATTATATTTATTCATAAAGCATTTGTCTAAATAACCGAAATAATATTTAAATACGAAGTTGCAAAAGATACAGACCATGTCATTCGGGCAAGTTTTAAACCTGCAATTATCTGATTAATAGTGCGAGTATAAATTTCGAGTAAGTCATTCGGTCATCGCACGCATGAGGGAACTTGCGTATATTTATATTTAACGAGCAAGAAATTATAAGAGTTTGAAGTCTGAATTGAAGTTAATGTTAACGAGGTGCTTGCGCTACTATTATTCAAAGATTTATGAAAGTATTGTATAAAGAGTTTGCATAATAGAAAGTCTTATAAAATCGCAATTAAAAAATAAATAGACATATTTAGTATAAAAACGTGATGTCAATCAATTTAGTGCTAATTAATTTTTTCGTCTTCTTCAAACTTACATGATTACAGTATATTTTTTATAGATTCATTCAATAATTAAGAGAAACTCATTATGTATCATAGATATTTTTCCTGTTTACATCTCTTCAGGGGGGTAAAGAGAGTGTTATAGAAGTCTCAAACTAAGAGAATCTATAACTTGGCATATACACCAAGTAAAATATATGTATAAATGCCTTGTGCACGTCTTAAAAAAATTTTTCCGCGAACAATTAATGTTTGAAAAAAAAAAAACCGCATTATCATCCGCGTTTTTAGGTTCTTATCGCTCGTTTCATAATTATCATGTTGATAGATATTTTCATTATGTAATATATTATTATGACACGCATATGATCATAATATAATGTAATTTTTTATCAAATTTTTATTAAATTTTTTATTAAAATACACAAGACTCATAAAATTATTATTAATAATGTTAATATTTTTTAGCTGCAAAGTATCTGTTTTTTTTTCAATTTTATAAATAATTATTAATTATAAATAATTAATTTTATAAATAATTATTATTTTTTTTTTCGTACGATTATCTGAAATTCTTTTGTCTATGTAAATGGAAGGGATAGTTTTAGATATGAACTCGAAAGGTCTTGCTCTACGCATCATGACACTGTAATGCGGAATTAATGCACACTGAATATACAATTAGAGTTAACATTTTTAGATGACGATACTTCCGTAATTATCAACCAGAAGTTGACAATTAAATTGACTAACGCAACCATATTGCGTGAGTATCATATATGGATAATCACAAGCTGCAGGTGACAATTAATTAGATATTCCTCGACAGTATACAATATTTATAAAAGGAGATGACAATTACTATACATGTAATTAACAAAGAATCATCAGAGATACCCCTTTCTGGTTTTAATCTTTAGCTTCATAAAACAGTTCAAGTAAATTTTTTTTCATAAGTGCTTAAAATATATAATATTTTGGAAAAAATTAAATTTAATTAGCATTAAAAGCCATATTGTTGAGACATTTTTTCGATATTTTAATCCTTTCGCTGCTGTAGGCGTTTTGCAATTTTGGTTTGTATACCGTTGGACTTAAGGCGTTCAAGTGTTATCATTTATATACAATATACATAATGCTGCTGTCACTTTTAGACACCTAGTATTTATATTATCATTATTCAAATATTTTCATACTAGCAGTACGTGACTAGTGATACGCGATAGCAAAAAGTTTTACCGTCACTAAATATGTCTAGATACGGCTAATTGTAAGATCACGCGCATTTTATATTAGACTTTCTTGCAGCGAAAGAGTTAAATTATACACAAAAAAAATTCTAAATTTATTTAGAATTTTAAAATATTCCTTGAAAATATAACAATTATATTTTCAAGGAATATTTTAAAATTCTAAATAAATTTATTAATATAAAAAATATTAATTTAAAAATACGTTTCTTATTTTAAATTGTTGTAGTATATTCGAAATTTATTAAAATCAGAATACAACACTTCTACATATTTTATTGTAAGAGGTGACTCCAGATGACATGTATTTTTAAAACATGATATAAAGAAAAAATTAAGCTATTCTTGTTGTTTCTTTGCCAAAAATTTTTTCTATAATAGAATCACAAAAATATCAATTTAAAAAGTGCGACAGCTTTCCAAGAATTTTACAAAGAATTTATGTAAATAATAATAAATTTTTAAAAACTATTACAGTTATATGCGACAAAAATCGAACGCTCACCTGAAATCTCGACAAAATGGCTACCAAGTTAAAAATAAATTAATTTGAAATTAATTCAGGTTTTAGACGTTAAGAATGAGCGAATTTTATGTTTATTTGTAACAAAATATTAACGTCAATTTATTAAAAATATAACTCACCAAAATTATGCTGATTTCAACCCCCGATTAATGCAAAGGATATCGGATGTCCTTACGTTTTGTTCAATTCGGTGTTAGCAGTTAGCAAATATAATTCGCTTCTTTAGAAACTCTTCAAACAAGTAACTTCTGATTGTTTGCGATACTTGCTGGATAATGTTTCGGCTTTCGGCACGTATTGAAGGGAACAACTGAATGAGCGGCAAATACGAGCCAAACTTTATAAATGACGGGAGAAAGTACAGAGACACTACCCGACAACCCCACGCTCCCAAAGGCTCGATTTGATATGTACCAATCACAAATATAAATGCGTGACTATGATTCATAATGAGACGATTTTCCTATATATGCAATTATGTCTCACAGATTGCTTTTTGCCTTGAAAGAATTTTAGGAATTTTTTTTTTATCTTTAAGCCATTAGAAATGCTTCCATAATTCCTGGATTTACACTTTTAAAAAATTTCTTAATATTGTGCAATATCTTATATTGTAATTTACATAAAGAATGTATATGAATATAAATATAAATGTGATATAAATGTGATATAAATGTGATATAAATGTGAATATAAATTGTACTTTTATTATCACTCTGTCTCCATCAAGTCCTAATAAAATCTCGGAAAGAATAGATTCAATCTATATACTTTAATCTTTTTCATAGATTGTCATTTTTTATTTAAGGCAATAATTTACATACAACTTTATAATAAAATCAAATTTGACTGTATGTAATTGTTCAATCAATTTTTCAATTTTTTGACCTTTTATAATATACAAAAAACAAATTGTTAAATAATTTTCTGTTACAAAAAATATCTGAATAAAAGCAATATAACAATATATAATACAATTAAAGGTTTGATGATAGTCATTTATAAAAATAAGTAATGTAAAGCAGAAACTGAACAGAAAATGATGTAGTTAAAATAAGAGATATCAGTGAGATGAGCAATCTATTATTTTAACTACATCTTTTATCGTAATCTCGTTAAACTAACATTAATATTCAGCTTATGCTTTAATATATTCTCATATACTAGCGCATTAATTCTCTAATTATCTTCAAACGTAAAGAAGAATTGTTACACATAATTGCATATACATAAAATTAAGCAACTATGGAAATATCTGCATCTATTACAAAACACGCAGGCATGTCACGACGATGTCTCTTTATGATATTTCGCTTCATCTATTCTTACAAAAGCATGCATTCTGAAAAGAAGAAAGAGACAAAGGAATTTACTACAGCACAACAAATTTACAGCACTGTAGTAAAGTAATATGAATAATAAATTTAATGATATAAATATTACGGAAAGATTTTAAATAAGTATTTTTTCTGTATTATATACAATTGTGCTTTAAATGTATGCAAAGCGTATACATATCGTCTTTATATATATCTTAAAACATAATTATAATGATACATGTTATATACATAATTTATCGAACGAATTTAATTTCACATTTAAAAATACGACGCATGCTCATACAAAAAAGATTCTGCTCGGAAGAGCAGCTTTCATAGAATGAACAGAATAACAATATGTCCATAAAATTTATTTCATTTTCAATCTAGAATTCAATCTAGAATTTTAAAATTCGTTCTTCAAAAAAATTTATTCTACAAATCCTCAGAGAATTTTCTACATTTGTCGTAATTGCACTGCTCCGAATTCGAAAATCATTTAACGTCTTTAATATTGGCACAACGCATACTCGATTATGTCCCTGATTTCATGCAAGAAGCCATCGAAAGTATCAGTAGCGTAGAAATTGCGAAACGCCTGCATTGTTTCACTCCACGACAGTTTTGTGAGAAAGCTTTTGATGCAGTAGGTCCTCCATTCTTCGTACGAATAGCTTTTGGCCCAACGCCAAGCTCGACAACAGTTCTCGTGATCCAGCTTGGCTAGAGAGGTTTCAGTTAACGCGTCCAACAGATCCGGCATGAGGAATTTATCGGCTAACACTGTCGCATCCAGCAACGATTCGATGTTTTCACGCTGCAACGCGCCACCATTTGCCGCTAGTATCAACGTGTTCAGGCCATCGTGCGATGTGTTCTTCAATCGCACTCGTCTCTTGCCCGACTCGCTAAAGTTACCTTCCAACATGGCGGAAAAGAAGTCCGAGCGCCGACACAGCATTCGCCTGCACGCATCTACGGTCGTGCCATCATCCAATTCGAATGTCACCGTCGACGACACCGTCGGCTTCGTGTTGTCTGACGTTTCGTCGAGAAGCGGTCTCGAAGACTCGCTGGCCTTCATCAGTGATTTCGCGATCGTGCTCGACTGATCGGCCGGATAGAGCTGCAACGTCCTTGCCAACTGGCAGATGGACCAGATCGCCGACTCGTGCAGTTTGTGTGATGGTTCCCTGAGCAAGCGGAATATTAATTGCAATCCGCCGTATTTGTCCAGTAAGCACTTGAGATTGCGATGTGTCTTGATGAGAAGCGGTATCGACACCGCAGTTAGTAGCTTTTGCTCATCTTCGCCGCGCAGCAATATAAACGATAGCTGGCCGATGGCGCCGCCGGTTTCCGCTACCATGCGTAAACGCCGTATGCAATCCTCCGCTTCTGGAAGAGTCTGGAGGTCAAATACCAGGCCTTGCTTCAATAGCGGTAGGAAATACGCCGTGTTACTAGACAAGGAAAATTGAGAGATGTCAGAAATATAAAAACGATAAATAAGATCTTTCTAAAATAATCAATACGAATTAAAAAGTGACGGAATTATTTTTTTTTTGATAGATCTCTTACTTCATGATTCTCATTAATATCTTGATTGCGGTGTTTCGGTATTTTTGAAGATTTTGTTTCTTCGTATATTTTATGTAATTCGTCAGCGGTTTGATGATTTTAGGATCGGCCAACTCATCGATTGGCTTGAGATAAAGACTCAATCTATTGAACAACACTAACGTATAGAATTGACAAGCATTCATCTTGCTGGGATTTTCAGAGCTGACTGAGGACGAGTCGAAATCAGCTTCGGTAGTCGTGAGCGATTTGTAGCTCTTCAGAGAAGTTGTTTCCTCTATAATAATGAAACAATAATTTAGATAAATCAATCTTTCGGACAAATTTTATACAAGAAATCACCTCATTGTAATTAAATGAAAATTGCATCAATAAAGAATTAATAATTTGTACCGTCTTCATCGTTGTCGCCGCATTCGGTGTCACTACAGATTGGACTGTAAATGTCATCCTCCGTGTCGTCAGTCTCCGCATTGGAATCGGAACAAAGCGGTAAAGGCGGTGTGCTGGGTGGCGATGAGGAGGAGGCGCTCGTGAAACTTCTCGGGCTCCAGTCATCGCGGTAAAAGTCCATACTAAACCTACCTCTAGAACAAATTAATTGAATTAATTTAGATTAGAAACATGACAAATAAAAGCCTGTTGCCTGGTATATACATATATATTTTACAAAATCTATTATCTATAGATTTTGATTATGAATATGAATGAAAATTCGATAAATATTCCGCTATCTCTTTCACCTTTCCACGCAAGTCCGAGTATATTTTGAAGGTGTTTTCTGGTATTCGGATGGACAATCGCTAAAACGTTTCCTAGACACGTTATTCTTGTCGTCGTCTACGGCTATAGCAATCACGTCTTTCAATTTTGTTACCAGAATATCCAATATACCATGTTTGGCTAAAATATCGAGAGCATTATCGTCATAGATAAACTGTGCGAGGGCTTGTAACAGTGCAGAATGATAACACTTGTGTTTGGAATTGTTCAGTAGTGTTATAATCAGCTGTAATCCGTCACTGTCCTTGATCCTATTCCGATTTACCGATTCTCGACAGAACAGACACAAACTAATCAGTATCTCTTTGTACAGTTGCTCTGTAGAACTATTCTCTACCGAGTTGATCAAAGCTATGATCTCTTCGATCGTCCCGGAAATGCCTAAGTCCAATCGACACTCAGCTATTTGGCAGAGAATGTAGAGGCATTTGATGGCCATTTTATTGTTTCTCTTGTTGCAGCACCGCATGAGACACTTGTAACCTTGTTTGTCCTTATCTACCTGCATCTGCTCGCCACAGCGTGGATCTAGGGTGACAAGAAACACGCACATAGCCTTCAAACACGCATCCACCAATTCAGCGTGTTTAGTGTCCTCATAAGACTTTTCTTCAGCCATAACGAATAATTGAGTGATCAGTTTGATAATCTGCAATCCTATCATTGTTTCCCTGATATGTACATAAGAACTCCAAATATTCCTGCAAATATAATTAAAATAAATTAATTGATGATATTAGATACATGCATATATATAAGTGAATTAAATATTAATAAATTAATTACTTTCTTATATAAAGTAATTTAAAAAAGATATTTCATAATAATTAATAGCGAATCATGAAATATTAATATTAATAATTATAAGAATTTATCAGATTTTTAATTTAGCATTTAATCTTGCATCCTTCTTCTTCAATGTAAATGTTATAAATGGATATATATTCATATTATATGTGGAATTTATATGAATTGAAAATGATATATAGATAAAGTTATACAAATTAGTAGAAGAAATTAGTAGAATAATTTTATACCTCATAGCTCTGACAGCCATGCAATAAGTTTGTGTATTGGTTTTTAATTCTAGGAGCGGTACAAGTGCTTTCAGTACTCCAGCTTCGCACAACTTTTTGACGTGCCAGCTACATTCAGACAAGTTACTAACGAGTCTGCAAGCACGGCAGTGCAGCTTAGTGTCCAATTTGAGATTTTTTATTATGAGCACTACATTGATTCCAATTTTACTGTCTTTTACCTGAAATATTACAAATTTTATCAGATAATAGAACAAAATATCTTATTAATATCTAACATAAATGTGCAAAATAATGAGTGTATAAATATAAATGTTATTAGATTTTGTTTAAAGTCAAGTTACACCAATATCAACCAATTTTATTGATACTTTAAAGTATTTATCATTTCATCTTCTCCTTTATCTTAATTTGAAACTGTATTGTTTATGTAATAGACATATTTGCATTAATATTATTAGCATCATTAAATATATTTAACAAAATATGTTTACTATGTTAATGTTAACACAATATTAACACGTGTATAAAAAAATATACAAAAGATATATATGACAAATATTATTATTATATTTTCTTTGTATCATAATATTAAAGAAATTCAAGAAAAACATTATTCTTTTAAATATGAAACAAAATTTAACAAAATTAAACTAAAACATTTTAATATTTTCATATCATATATAAAATAATTTTAATATTTTAACACAAATTTTTTTTTTAAATATTTTAATATATTAATATAATTTTAATATTAAATATTTATTGCATTTTATTCTTTAATATTAAATTTATTATTTAATTATATAATTTTATTATTTAATATTAAATATTTTTTTACTGAATTTTATTATTACAGCAGTTTTACAGTGCAACTATACAAAAAATACTAAAATTAATTTAAACAATTTTTTTACACTTGCTAAATTCAAGTTCTATTTACGCCCCTGATCTACGCAGCATTTTGCAGAAATGCCCGATCAAGATGCATTCCCAAGAAGGAAATAAAAAAAGACGTACCTTTTCCCTGACGTCGAAGGTCATGCAAACGTCCGCGAGGATGCTCAGGCTCATATTCACCATCGTGTCATTCTTGCAGCGCAGAAGCTGGACGAGGATATCGAGGCCGCTACTCCGTTTGGCGAACTCCTTGCAGCGCTTGGGGTCGCTCTTGAGCTGGGCGAGGCACTTGACGATGCCGCTCTTGTTGCTCGCCCGGAAGTGCCTCGCCAGCTCCGACGCGATCGGGCACTCGTCCGCCGCGTCCTTCCGCGGCATCTTGGAGGTCGACATCGCGATGTCCCGACGCGATCACGAGGAAAATCGCGGAAATCCGTCGGCCGACATAACCTCAAAATCGCCGAGCGCGCACCGAGCCCGAGCCCACGCTCTCGTCCGTCAGGCCGCGTGGCACCGCGCGCGCTACGCTCGACATTGGTCGGCGATTCCGCCGATTATCGCGGTCGATAAGACGCGGTTTCCCGAGGATCCCGATCTCGGTCTCGATAGCGCCGACAGGAACACGTGCGCGCGCGTAAATCGCCCGAATAAACGAGATCCCCGGCGGATCCTCGACGATAACTGTCAGTTTCGCTCGGGTAAACTTTGAATTTCCCGCCGTTCAGGGCAACGGCCTGAAGTTGGCGGCGAAAGCTGCATCTGTCATCGATTACGTAATACGATGATGCGAAAGAAAGAGAGTGATTTGTCGCGCATGCGCGCAGTTTCCAATGGAGCGCATGCGCGCAATTTCCTATAGGCAGGGTAGGATAAGTTTATACTTTTTTTTAATTAAATTAAGTTAAAGTTTAATGGGTTAAAAAATTAATTTAGTTATGTTAAAAGTTATACAAATAAAAAATTAACTCAATAAAAGTTACGTTAAGATTAAATTAACGTTAGTTAAGATAAAAATTGAAATTTTGAAAAGCATTATTTCACTTTATATTAAATTAGATTGTAATTTTAAAATTAGATTACTCTAAATAATAATAATATGAATAATCAAATAAATTTGGGGAGAAAGTTAATAAGTTTAAGTTTATGTGTTTTAAAAATAACTAGTTAAAGTTAAAAGTTAACTCTTTTTAAAATAACTAAGTTGAGTTAAAAATTATTGACTTTTTAACTTTTTTTTTAACTTTTAACTAATCAACTAGTTATTATCAATAGTCAGCAGAAATCTCAGATGACAAATATAAACATATGCGGTCCAGAGAGAAGACTGAGAGATGTCACGGCTTGCTTTTAGGTGACCCCAAAAGTGATACTCCCTCTATGGACATTCAAAACATGGACATGAACTACAAAGTCAAGGTCCATGAATGTTCTCAGAGGGTAATATATAATTGCACAATTTCTGGTTTTGTTCCGTGCTATGTGCACGAAATGCCGGTAGCACCAGTGCTATATAACAATTAAATACTTATGTGTGTAAATTGATAATAAATAAATTATTCAATCGCGACAGATACTGTAATATTCAAAGACGAAATAAACATTTTTCAAAATAAATTGGTAAATAATATGGCTCTATGTATTTATCAACATGATAATTAAGTAAAGAGCATTAAGAGCCCACAAAACGCGGATGGCAATGCGTAAATTATTTCGAACATTAATTCCTCGCGAAATTTTTTTTTTTTTTTTTTTTTTTAAATGCGTTATTAGGAGAACATGATTTGTAAAGAGGTCATCAACGCATCATCGACCTCCTCGCAAAATATATTCTCCTGATAATATAAAATAATAAGAAACGAATTTTCGAAAATTTTCACGCTTGCGTTATTAGGAGAACATGATTTGTAAAGAGGTCATCAACGCATCATCGACCTCCTCGCAAAATATATTCTCCTGATAATATAAAATAATAAGAAACGAATTTTCGAAAATTTTCGCGCTTGCGTTATTAGGAGAACATGATTTGTAAATAGGTCATCAACGCATCATCGACCTCCTCGCAAAATATATTCTTCTGATAATATAAATTATAAGAAACGAATTTTCGAAAATTTTCACGCTTGCGTTATTAGGAGAACATGATTTGTCAAGAGGTCATCAACGCATCATCGACCTCCTCGCAAAATATATTCTCCTGATAATATAAATTATAAGAAACGAATTTTCGAAAATTTTCGCGCTTGCGTTAATAGGAGAACATGATTTGTAAAGAGGTCATCAACGCATCATCGACCTCCTCGCAAAATATATTCTCCTGATAATATAAAATAATAAGAAACGAATTTTCGAAAATTTTCGCGCTTGCGTTATTAGGAGAACATGATTTGTAAATAGGTCATCAACGCATCATCGACCTCCTCCCAAATATATTCTCCTGATAATATAAATTATAAGAAACGAATTTTCGAAAATTTTCGCGCTTACGATATTAGGAGAACATGATTTGTAAAGAGGTCATCAACGCATAATCGACCTCCTCGCAAAATATATTCTCCTGATAATATAAATTATAAGAAACGAATTTTAGAAAATTTTCGCGCTTGCGTTATCAGGAGAACATGATTTGTAAAGAGGTCATCAACGCATCATCGACCTCCTCGCAAAATATATTCTCCTGATAATATAAATTATAAGAAACGAATTTTCGAAAATTTTCGCGCTTGCGTTATTAGGAGAACATGATTTGTAAAGAGGTCATCAACGCATCATCGACCTCCTCGCAAAATATATTCTCCTGATAATATAAATTATAAGAAACGAATTTTAGAAAATTTTCGCGCTTGCGTTATCAGGAGAACATGATTTGTAAAGAGGTCATCAACGCATCATCGACCTCCTCGCAAAATATATTCTCCTGATAATATAAATTATAAGAAACGAATTTTCGAAAATTTTCGCGCTTGCGTTATTAGGAGAACATGATTTGTAAAGAGGTCATCAACGCATCATCGACCTCCTCGCAAAATATATTCTCCTGATAATATAAATTATAAGAAGCGAATTTTCGAAAATTTTCGCGCTTGCGTTATTAGGAGAACATGATTTGTAAATAGGTCATCAACGCATCATCGACCTCCTCGCAAAATATATTCTTCTGATAATATAAATTATAAGAAACGAATTTTCGAAAATTTTCACGCTTGCGTTATTAGGAGAACATGATTTGTAAAGAGGTCATCAACGCATCATCGACCTCCTCGCAAAATATATTATCCTGATAATATAAATTATAAGAAACGAATTTTCGAAAATTTTCGCGCTTGCGTTATTAGGAGAACATGATTTGTAAATAGGTCATCAACGCATCATCGACCTCCTCGCAAAATATATTCTTCTGATAATATAAATTATAAGAAACGAATTTTCGAAAATTTTCACGCTTGCGTTATTAGGAGAACATGATTTGTCAAGAGGTCATCAACGCATCATCGACCTCCTCGCAAAATATATTCTCCTGATAATATAAATTATAAGAAACGAATTTTCGAAAATTTTCGCGCTTGCGTTATTAGGAGAACATGATTTGTAAAGAGGTCATCAACGCATCATCGACCTCCTCGCAAAATATATTCTCCTGATAATATAAATAATAAGAAACGAATTTTCGAAAATTTTCGCGCTTGCGTTATTAGGAGAACATGATTTGTAAATAGGTCATCAACGCATCATCGACCTCCTCCAAATATATTCTCCTGATAATATAAATTATAAGAAACGAATTTTCGAAAATTTTCGCGCTTACGATATTAGGAGAACATGATTTGTAAAGAGGTCATCAACGCATAATCGACCTCCTCGCAAAATATATTCTCCTGATAATATAAATTATAAGAAACGAATTTTAGAAAATTTTCGCGCTTGCGTTATAGGAGAACATGATTTGTAAAGAGGTCATCAACGCATCATCGACCTCCTCGCAAAATATATTCTCCTGATAATATAAATTATAAGAAACGAATTTTCGAAAATTTTCGCGCTTGCGTTATTAGGAGAACATGATTTGTAAAGAGGTCATCAACGCATATCGACCTCCTCGCAAAATATATTCTCCTGATAATATAAATTATAAGAAACGAATTTTAGAAAATTTTCGCGCTTGCGTTATCAGGAGAACATGATTTGTAAAGAGGTCATCAACGCATCATCGACCTCCTCGCAAAATATATTCTCCTGATAATATAAATTATAAGAAACGAATTTTCGAAAATTTTCGCGCTTGCGTTATTAGGAGAACATGATTTGTAAAGAGGTCATCAACGCATCATCGACCTCCTCGCAAAATATATTCTCCTGATAATATAAATTATAAGAAGCGAATTTTCGAAAATTTTCGCGCTTGCGTTATTAGGAGAACATGATTTGTAAATAGGTCATCAACGCATCATCGACTCCTCGCAAATATATTCTTCTGATAATATAAATTATAAGAAACGAATTTTCGAAAATTTTCACGCTTGCGTTATTAGGAGAACATGATTTGTAAAGAGGTCATCAACGCATCATTGACCTCCTCGCAAAATATATTATCCTGATAATATAAATTATAAGAAACGAATTTTCGAAAATTTTCGCGCTTGCGTTATAGGAGAACATGATTTGTAAAGAGGTCATCAACGCATCATCGACCTCCTCGCAAAATATATTCTCCTGATAATATAAAATAATAAGAAACGAATTTTCGAAAATTTTCGCGCTTGCGTTATTAGGAGAACATGATTTGTAAATAGGTCATCAACGCATCATCGACCTCCTCGCAAAATATATTCTCCTGATAATATAAATTATAAGAAACGAATTTTCGAAAATTTTCGCGCTTACATATTAGGAGAACATGATTTGTAAAGAGGTCATCAACGCATAATCGACCTCCTCGCAAAATATATTCTCCTGATAATATAAATTATAAGAAACGAATTTTAGAAAATTTTCGCGCTTGCGTTATCAGGAGAACATGATTTGTAAAGAGGTCATCAACGCATCATCGACCTCCTCGCAAAATATATTCTCCTGATAATATAAATTATAAGAAACGAATTTTCGAAAATTTTCGCGCTTGCGTTATAGGAGAACATGATTTGTAAAGAGGTCATCAACGCATGATCGACCTCCTCGCAAAATATATTCTCCTGATAATATAAATTATAAGAAACGAATTTTCGAAAATTTTCGCGCTTGCGTTATTAGGAGAACATGATTTGTAAATAGGTCATCAACGCATCATCGACCTCCTCGCAAAATATATTCTTCTGATAATATAAATTATAAGAAACGAATTTTCGAAAATTATCACGCTTGCGTTATCAGGAGAACATGATTTGTAAAGAGGTCATCAACGCATCATCGACCTCCTCGCAAAATATATTCTCCTGATAATATAAATTATAAGAAACGAATTTTCGAAAATTTTCGCGCTTGCGTTATTAGGAGAACATGATTTGTAAAGAGGTCATCAACGCATGATCGACCTCCTCGCAAAATATATTCTCCTGATAATATAAATTATAAGAAACGAATTTTCGAAAATTTTCGCGCTTGCGTTATTAGGAGAACATGATTTGTAAATAGGTCATCAACGCATCATCGACCTCCTCGCAAAATATATTCTTCT